TTGATATTCATCTTGATCTCTCCAACACCTGAAGCTTGGAGCTTCCTCTCGTCTGGAAGGGTGACCGACCGACCAGTTGACTTGGTAAGGGCACTAAAGTAGCTTGGTTCACAACAAACGTGACAAGTTGCTCCACTATCAAGTATCCACGTTGACTTGTCCAGTTTAACTTGACCATTGAATGATCTTAATTGTAAAATATTATCGGGCTTCGACTTGTTGAACTTCCGACCATTACAATCCTTGGCTATGTGACCAATCTTACCACAACTGTAACATTTCACCTTCGATCTCCTCTTTCCAACCTTTCGATCATCACAAATTTTCATTACATGGGTCGACGTGACGACCTCATTAGTCTTCCTTTCCTCCTCCTCCAACAGTTTAATTTTCAACACGGCAACTGGAGGTAAACTGTCTCTTGAGGACATGGCCACAACAAAATTTTCATAGGAATCACCAAGACTCACTAATAAGATCACCGACAGAATCAATTCGGGCAATTTGATGTCCAGAACTGCCAACTGATCCAACAAACCAACAAATGTATCGAGGTGTTCTTGCATCGACTGGCCTTGTTGAATTCGTAAACACATCAGCTTCTTAAAGCAACTGACCACTGTTGCTGGTCCGGTTCGAACATGTGAACCCTCCAATGCTGACCAGGCCTCCTTAGCAGTCTTGCAACCCTTGATCAACCGAAAGTTCTTAGGGTGAACACTTAAAGTGATTAAAGCTAAAGCTCGTTCATCTTTTGATGTAAAATCTGCTTCCTTAGGGTCAGGGCTCGAGACATACGACCAAAGCTGGTTGTGAATAAGGACACTTTTCATGAGGGTTGACCAGGAATCATAATTTCCATCACTCAACTTCTCAATGTTCAAAAGGTTACTCATTGTTGAACAGTTGACTGGTTTACACAAAACACTAAATTAAATTGAATACTTGTAGAGCCCAAACTACGCTCTGCTACCATGAGAGAGTGAACCAACGAGGTATTCAAAGTAAAGCGGTGAACAGACTGACAGGTCAAGAATACAGTTTGAAGGGTCAAAGGTTTAATTAAGAGAAAAAGTAAGAGGTACATGAGAGAGATAAAGAGAGAGAGATAGATAGAGAGAGATAGATACTTTATGTTGTGTCTATGACACCTTATATACTGTGACAGTCAAGGTGGATAGGGTTATCACCTTGACTACTGAGGTATTGAGCAAGACAAAAAGGGGGGAGTCAACTAGTTGACCCCGACAGACGATTGGGTAGTTGGTTAGGTCACCTGGTCGGTTAGACTCTCACAGATTAACTAATCACAATCAAGTTTTATAGTAAATTTGTTGAGTGAAACAAAAAAGTTGATTGAAGTTTTCGTGTTAACAAGTCTTGTAAATTGTCAGCAGGAGAGTAAACAATTTAACAATTTGATTAAAAACCATGATTGTAATCAATTTGATGATGATCAACATGATTAAGTCTCTCCCCCTCTATTGTCCTGGATTTATCATCATCAACATCATCATTATCCTTTAAACAAATGTCAATATCTGTACATTTCGAGGTCAAAGTTGATTAAAAACAAACACGCGCCTGTGTTACGTGTAATTAGCACGTTAATCATGATTAAATTGCTGGTTAATTGTTAGTTAATCAGCATTGTTTACTTACACTTGAACTTAAGATTCTCTCTCTCTCTCTCTCTTGATTATCCTCATCATCTTAATCATCATCATCTTACATTTGATTAAATCATAAACACGTTCCGTTTCATTGTGTACGTGCTGAGATTACAACAACAATTAAAATTAATTGTTACAATTATTATTAATGTTGACAGACCAATTTAATAAATCAGCCTTGACCATAACGTACAATTTATGTTTTATTAATTGTATCAAATTTTTTAACGATAAATTATTTAGTTAATTAGTTGAGCAATTAACTTGTTATATAACATATTAGATATTAATTATTATTACATTGAATTTTAATTATTCATTATCGGTGCTTAATTGTTAATCTAATTTACGGAAGTGATTAGAGTTTATCATTATCATATATTGTAAACAATTTAAATGATGTTGATCTAATTTTAACAAACAGACTACAATTAATTGATTGTTCCTGTTGATTATGACGAGGAAGATGCAATTTAATGATTAATAGTAAAGTTAATAAAATATAAATGATGATGATGATTAAGATTAAGAAATTAAATAATCAGTGACAATTTAAAGGCGTTAATCATTTCAATCAGTAAATTATCAAGTTAATCACTTGCAATTTAGCCTTACGGGCTGAAGATGATTAAAATTTGTCCCTTTTTCAGTTTGTTGATTTAGTTTGTAATTAATTTAAAAATTACTCAATTGCTCACAATTAGCAATCACAATTAAGAAACTGATTGCTAACAATTTATTTATTTCCTCATCTTAAATAATACAATTTGAATCTTAATTTTCAACCAACTAAATTAACTTTACATTTATACAATTAACTTTTCATGTTTTCGCGTCTCTTAATTGTTCAGACCCATTGAGTTAGTTAGTTAATTTAGTGGTTAATTAGCTATTAAATTATTATTGATTGTTGTTTAATTTTGGGTAAACTAATTATTCACTATTATCAACAATTATCATCATAATTGTGACTCTTTTTTACAATTGTTTTCCTGTTTTCATAAAGTTTTAATTTAGTTTTAATTGTTGTTCATAATTAACTTTTTTTCTGTGATTAATTGTTGTTAAAAGAGTTAATTGTTTATACAATTTAGCGAAAACTTTGTTCACAATTAACATGATTAAGCTAATGATATCGGACTAATAGTCTTCCCTTGATGATGATGAGTAAATTAATTACAATTATAACCGTTAATTGTTAATCAAGGGCGTTGATTAACTCTTAAAAATGTTCACAATTAAATCCTAATCACCGACACAATTTAAACATGATTAAAAATACAACTAAAGAAAAGGTGTAAATCCTTTGATTGTAAATGAGATAATCATGACAATCTATTAATTGTAATTAAACTTTTGTTTTCCAATCATAAAGGTTTCCTTTTAAATCATGAACAATTAACTTGCTGCTTAATTGTGTCTTTCTTGAAATCACTTGACTAACTATTAATTATAATAATAAATTGTCACAAAATTTGTTAATTAAACGTGACAATTTAGGTTAATCAAGTTGATCTTAATTCACAACAATCAACTAAATTGTCCAGTCAATGATTTAAAAAGTTAGTTTGATTATTTAAACTAAAATTAACCTTGATGTTTTCCCCAAATCTAATTACAATTAAGTTGATCATGATTTAGAAATACAAGTGAATTGAAACAAAAACAACAACAAAAAGGTTAATTGTAATCAGGGAAAAAGCAAATTAAGATTAATCAATGATTTATATTATCAATTGTTTCAACTGATTATCAGGTTGATTGGTGAAAGTCATGATTTAAATCACAATTTAAATTGTTAATCAAGTTAACTACTGTTATAATATAATCATAATCATAATCAATATCAATCTGACAATCAAGGATCACAATCAAAATGATAACATGATAATCAATATAAAAATACATACAAATTGTTACTCTTGATTTAGTGATTAAATTAAGCTGAAACAATTTGTGATTAACTTTGAAATCTAAGATTTAAATTGTAATTCATAATATTATTAGAAACCTGATTAACTAAAACTGAATCAAATTAAAACTGGCTGACCGTTAGGGTCAATTGTATTGATACGGGTTAAAACAATCAAACAACAATAACAACAATTTAAAGTTTTGATGGTCGACAATCAAATGGACAAACAAACAAACAATTTAAATTTAGTTCTAACTCTTGATTATCCTTTTTGATTAAATCTCTTCGAGATTATAATGGATTAAATTGTTTAACCATTTTGCTAATCAACAATAAGAATCAGGTTAAAATTAACATGATCAACAAATTCAATCGGATTAAATTGTTTACCCAAAAAAAAAATTGTGATCAATTTCAATTGTATTAATAGTTTTATATTGTTGTTGAAAGTTTTCTTGATTGTTTCGAGTTAATGTTTTTTCTGATTAATCATTATGATCATTTGATTACAATTAAAAGTTATTTTCTTGTTTTTTGATTAATTTAAGCTCTCTAATTGTTGTGATTGTTTAGTATTCACTGAATTTTGTTTTTAATTGTATTTATCATTATTAGTAATCAACTGAGTTAGTTTAACATAAAGTTTTCAAGCTAATTGTTTACAATTAGCTGATGATTTGTATTGATAACTTTCACTTGTAACTGTAAATTGTTGTTATCATTATATTGTGATGATAATTATTATTAATTGTTGTTTAATAATTTACAGTTTATTACACAATTGAAACAGTGTATCAATTGATTGTTGAAAGTGATTAGATTCATATCAATTACAAGGATTGATCATGTTGACCAATTCAAGTTAATTACAAAATCTTATTTTAGTGACAATTGTTATAATCAAATTATGATTAAAATCATAATGATGATGATTAAGTCCCAAACAACAACAGGTAAATAAAAACAGGAAGATAAATGAAAGAGAGAGAGAGAGAGAGAGAGAGAGAGAGAGAGAGAAAAGTGAACAGGAAGATGAAAAGATGTGACAAGAGATGAAGATAAACAAGGAGAGTAAAGTTAAGAGACAAAGAGATAACCATTGATAATATGATATCCAAAGCAAGAGATTTCATCCGGATGATGATGGAGGAAGATGAAAGAAAGACAGATAGACAGCTGGGATTAGAAGATGATAAAAGAAAGAGAAAAAGTAAGAGTGAGAAGACAAGAAAGAGAGAGGAAGATAAACTGAGAGAGTCAAATGTAAAGGTGATGTTGTTTTCCAGTTTGTTGTATATTCAGTTGATGATGAACATCAACTTGTATGAATTGATTGTTTTCCATTCAAATTTGATTGTTTAATATAATTTTTTTTCTTGCTAATTGTTTACCTTTATCTCACCTTTTCACAGGATATAATTACCATCATCATCATTTGGATTAATTTCATCATCATGTTGATTATATAAAATAATCTCTCGAGTTGATTAACTTTTATTAACTTTTTCAATTGTGGAAAAAATTGTTTTTCATTTTCTGTAACTTTTCAATGTCACACAATTAATTGTGTGTTTACAACTCAACATATCAACGGATTAATAACTTACCTGTTGTAATATCATCATAATTTAAATTACCTGGAGATATTTATACTCAAGAAAACAAGAAGAAGTGATTAATTAATTATCTTGATCATCATGGAAGATGATGGATCAACTGATTGTTATGTTGATAAACTTCATGAAGTTTTCCTTTCCTGTGACAGTTCTGGATGTGAATTATTGGGAAAAGATGAGCTGATTGAACTTTGTGATAAACTACAATTAGATGAAGATCAAACTTATTACATTATTGATCATCTATTGATTGATCAGTTTACGAAGGTAAGTACAATTTAAATTGATTGTTAGGAAACAATCAAACAATTAAGAGTAATACCTTAATCACTTTACCCTTTTCCATCATGACAATTAATAGTATTGAGACTTTAATAGTTTACCATAGATATTGTATTCTAGTTTTCCTGGTTAAATTGTTGTACAATTAAACGTTAATCATTATTCACAATATATGAAATTACTATTATCATGATTTAAGAGAAAGTTAATTGTCATGATTATTATTTTTTTCCTTTCCCATTCCCCAACAATTAAACGTTAATCACGCAATCAACTTACACTTTCCTTATCCTATTTACATAATATCAACAATTAAGTGACATTAACAATCAATTGTTGTATTGTAATCTGATTGGGATCACAATTTAGTTGATTAATTGTTGATTGGTGAAACTTTCCATTTCAAATTGTCATTGCAATTGTTAATATTAATAGTTAATTATTTTTACTTGATTTAGAGGAGAAATACTTTAATTAGTAACATTGATTAACTGGGATGATAATAAATTATCATCTTTTGCTTTATCATCAATTTGTCACAATTTTGACAGTTTGTTTATGTTTGGTGACAATCAAATTTAATCCAGTTCAGATAATAAAATCATCTTAAGTGTGTTTACCAAACCTTGGAAGGTTAAAAATCAGTTGATTGTCAAGAAAAAAAAACACAAATTAATCTACCCAAAGATTAATCAGATTAGATTGTCAGCAATTTAAGTACAATCAAGAAATCAACTAATCGTCCATTAGCTAAAATGATTTAACAACAATCAACAACAATTAAAAACAACATTCTCATTGTGATGATAATATCTTATTATGAATCATACCATTGATATAATTAACTTTTTTTTTTGTTAATGATTTAAATATTTGATTTGATTTAGAAAATTTCTCTCAACAATTTAAGTTAATTGTGATTAAAATGAAACAGATACACCAAAAAAATGATCTTGACCTTAATCATAAATGTTAATTTTAAAACAGTTTCCATTGAAAACGCCTTAATCTTAATCATTAACACCATTAATTGTTGATTATCCTCCTTAATTTATGATGAAATTAAAATCATTACGGTTTTTAATATATTTAATTGTAACCATTATAATCATAATATCATCAGAGTAACAATTAACGTTTCAACAATCAGTATCACTATTAAGAGGGAAAAGGTTAATGCTCTCATTGTTAAATCACCTTAAATTGTCAACTAATTGCCTTAAATTGTTAAAAGTGAGGTCACTTAGTTAAATATTGATTGTTTCAAATTACTCTGGACTTTAATAATAACCAAATTGTTCAATGATTAAGTTAATTGTTGACATATTACACGAATACTATTTATGAAGATATGGATCCAATCTCAATGAGTTAACGAAGGTGATTTAACAACAATCGTTAACAATTTAAATTGTCAGTTAATTTGATTCGTTAGTATCATTAGTATTATGTAATATTACAATTGTACGTTCAAAGAGATGGACAATTAACCCAAAAATGCAACAATTTAGATTTGCAGTTAATCTAATTGCGTATGAATTTTTAATCAACTCACGAACTTTGATAATCTTTGTTAATTGTTGAGGTTGGACAATCAACTAGTGTAATTAAACTGTTGATAAACACTGATCATGATGATTAATTGATTTAATTCTGTCACAATTAACTTTAATTTCTTATCATGGATTAAGTTTTTTTTTCTAATTTATTTCACTTTAATTGTAACAGGAAGAGATTAGGAACTAAATTAAAACATTAATAATAAATTAATCTTTCACATTAATCAGTTAATCCAACTATTTTTACCGCAATTAACTCAACTCGACTAATCAAGTGACAATTTTTTTCCTTAATTGTTGGACACTTATAAAAAAAACGATCACAATTAATTTCCTGAATTGATTGAATAACCTAATCAACTGATGCTCATTGAATCAACAATTAACTTTACCAAGTAAAACATTGAAACTTGTCATATTTAAATTGACCATTTAATTGATTGATTAAACAACTGAATTGAATTATAATCAACAAGTGAATTTAATTAATTTTAATTTTTCTCTTGATGATTTACAATTTAAAGGATTCATTTTGTTGTTTAAGTTATAAACTCAATGGGGAAGCTAAATTGTTGATCCAACTGAGTTTAGATTAATTTAGTTTGATTGTTAATCTACTATTTGAATTAAATTAGAGGTGATAATTGCTGTAGGCTAAATTGTTGCCTCTGTTGTGGTACCTCAAATGATTACAATCAACTACTTGATCACAATTAAAGATGATGAAGATGAAGATGATGATGTAAGAGTGGGAGGAGGAGGTGGTGATTAGGTTGAAGGTGGGAAGGGGACAATAATCGTGGTGGGATTAAGAGGGTTATCATGTAATTAATATTAAATTGTTGTGCTAATTAAGGGGTTTGCATTTCATTTAATTAATCTCAGTCTCAATTTGATTGTTGATTAAGGTGAAAAGTTTTACTTCAACTCTTCAAAAATGACATGAAAAAAGTTTGTTTTTATCAATCACCCTCAGGGTAAATTAGTTTTTTTCAACTTATCCCTTAATTGTTGATTTATTATCTATCATTATTTACTAGGCTCTCTCATAATACTACAATTAACTGTTAATTTAATTAGTTATTTAAATTTTTCTGGGTTAACACTTTTTCTGTATAAATGATTGACCCAATTTTCAAGTTGATTACTTGATTGTTGTTGATTATTTATTTCAATTTTGATCAACTAACTATAATCATTAATTGATTACAACAATTTACTAAATTGTTCAGATTTTTTGATTGATTAATTTATATATATTGTACTTTCTTTGCTTTAATTTATTAATAAATTGTTTCTGTACCTTGATTGTCATCATGGTGTTGAGGTTTAATTTAATTGTTTGTGTTTAAATTAGTTGATTATTTTACTTTTCCAACGTTAAAAAAACTTTGGCTTGATATTGATTAAAGTTCAAGGAAATGATTAACTTTAATTTAGTTGTATGAAAAAAAAAGGTTAATGATAAATTAACTTTATTGTTTGATTAAAATGGTGATGATCAGTTGATTGTCTTCCGCATTGCTTTTTAATCAACTGATCAACTTTTAATTTAGTCTCATATAACTGTAACAATTTGTTGATTATCCAAATATTGACAAAAATTAAATATCAGAATAACAATAAACAAAGTTATCTAAACCATAGTTATTAAACATTATCACAATTAAAGTTAATTGTTGTTGTAATTGTAATTGTCGTACTGAAGACAAGGAGGTTTGCGAAAAAGTTAATCCATTGATTTAAATTGTAACAATCAGTTTCCTTATTAAATAAAACTCATCAAACAATTTTCATCTTTAAGAAAATTAAATTTAATTGTTTGAACTTCCTAATTGATTGCAATTTAATTACATACATTTGAATAACAATTTGATTAATAGTTAAAGGTTAAACTGTTGTTCAAATTAATAGTTTAAATTGTGAAAATTTCACATGAATGAAAATCATTTATGGTTTAGTGATATAACTTTAAATATTAATAGATTAACACTTAACGAATGGGACAATTAAGATTGTAAGATTTGTTAATTGTGTCTCTTTAATTGTTGGAAATTTAAATTTCAATCTCTATCTCTGTGGTCAACTGTTATTGCGGACCCAAAGTAATTTAGGTCAATGGTCATCATTTAGGTTAATGATGATTATGGGAGTTAACCTGTGTGTCCATTACTCTTATTGTTTGATTAACTAACGATTTAGCTTAATTGTTTGGGTCACAATTTAACTTTTAATTGCATTTCATTACTTTTCAGATTGATTTCAATGAATTCAAGGAAGTCTTTGTCTCGTTATTAACCCGATCTCAGGTTGGTTATGATGAGATTCCGAATCTATCTAATCCATGTTCACCAATTAAACATAAACAATCATCATCATCAACAACAACAAACAATTTATCCTCATCCCCACCTTCACCTATACCTTCATCCCAACCGTCTGCCAACAACATGAATTCAAATCTAATGGCATCATCATCAACTCTATCAGTCTCATCTCAAGCATCTTCATCAACCGCATCACTTTTAACGGTATCATCAACATCATCCTCATCTCCATCACCATCTCCATCACCTTCAACCTCATCATCATCATCAACAACACTAACCAATAATAATAATAATAATAATAATGATAGGACTAAATCAATGTTAGATCATCGACATCATCAAGATAATCAATTTACCAACAATCAACTTAATAGTGATTATGATTATGATTATGATTACGATTATCATACTTTATTTACCAATAATAATAACAACAATAACAACTCAATGATCCAATCAACTTGTACAAATCACTCCAATGATAATAACAATTTATCATCATCATCATCTTCATCATCATCATCAACAACAACAACAACATCACCACAACCCCCACCAATACCAACATCATCATCAAATGGACAACAACAACAACAACAACAATCAACTAATTCAATCCCAACGGAACCAATGTCACCCTCAGGGCCAACAATTAATCCAAACTCAGCTGAACAATTGTTAAGGTCAATTTGGGATAAATTAAGAATAGGTCAAGATGGTTATCTGAATATCGATGAACTTTATGCCGTTTGTGAGCACGTTGGCATGGAAATGTCCGATGATGTTATCGAACAATTATTCGAGAAATTAGATTGTGATCGAGATGGAAAAGTTTCTTTCGATGAACTACTTCAAGGTCTATTTGTAAGTATTCACCATACGAACTTAATTCCAATTTACCTTAGATTAAGATTCTTATTCTTATTCTTTGTTCATTATGTTGGAAAATTATCTTCGTAATTTGATTAGTTAATCATTTCGTTAGAATGAACAATCTAGACATTGATTCCTTAATTGTTACGCTTCGATTGATGAAAAGTTACCGTTAGGTTTTGATTTTTTTTTCTCTCTCTCTCTCTTCTTTCATTAGATTTTAATTGTTGATTCAAAATTTTGAGGTTCTTAATTGTTGATTAACCTTGATTGTGATTCGATATTATTTGTAGTTGATTGAAGACTTAGAAATGACGATCGATAATTAAATCCAATTGTTATTTATTATTAGAAAATATTTATTTTCATATTTGATTGAACAATTTATTATATACTTCGTTATTGATTATCGTCGATAATTAAGTTTAATTGTCTTGTAATATCCACTAATTAAGTTGGGAAACTTTTTGATTACAACTTTTAATTGTTGATTATTAATAAAAGTGGATTAGGTTTGATGATTAAATTAATTTCTCTTGAGAATCCGAACCATTTTTTTAATAATCAAGTGACAATTTAATCGTGATCAAGATGAACAATTAACTAAATTATTAATATTTAAATTGCTAAATATAAAAAAAAGATAATCACAATTGTTAATTAACTGTAATATTTGTTTCATTTGTTTAATTAATTGTAGGAGCACAATAGGAGTTACGTTGTTAATAATAATAATTGTGGTAACAACAATCAAGTTAATCATGGTTTGTTTAAGATAACCACCAATACCCAATCATCACAATCAACTGATCATTTTGACCAGAAAATTGATTTAACCGGATGCATTCAACCAGATTCAACAATGACAACTTATGACAATCATTCATTACAATCAACTGATTATCTTAATCACAATAATCATCACCTTCATAATAACAATCATCATCATAATCAATATTTTAATCACAACAATCATTATAATCACAATCAACGGAAGGTTTCATTAACTACTGATCATAGTTACATTAAATGTCAATCAAATGAATCAAATCAACGACAATCAAGTGAAGATGATAGTTTCGGTACCAGTGGTAATTACTTTCAATCATTGGATCCACTTAATCTTGGGTAAGTCTTTACAATTAGTTAATTGTTGCCCTAAATCTGAAACATATTCAAATACACTAACAAGATAAACCGAATAACCTTTTTCAATTATAAATAATTAGAACTTTTTTCTTTCGTAGTTAATTGATTGTAACAATTAACTAATATCGACCGTATCGTCTTACAATATTATTATTAATCAATTGATTACAATTTAGTTACAACAATTAACTTTGTTTTCTGTTTTGATTAATTGATTTTGATGTTGGTTTTGTGTTTACGTTTAATCAACTATATAAATCACCAGCATCATGATTAAGTTAATTGTTTTAGATTCTAGGACTTGTTGGTACATAACAATTAATTAATTGTTTGATAAGATTGATGCAAGTTTATTAATCACAATTCATGTGTATACTTAATTGTTAATCATGATTAAAGTTTAAGTAAATTTTCAATTAACTTTTCATTTTTGTATTTTTCTCATCAGCTAAACTTTGATTGTATTCAGTTGATTAGTTTTTTGATTGATTGATTAAGTTAAACCCTTTTACTTGTATTATTATAATTAACTAACTATTAGCTTGACCTTGGATTCGGGCAATTAGTTTTAATTGTTTACCAATAAATATTGGTTAATTGTAGTGATTAGCTACTGGATTTTTGTTGCCGTTATTTTAATTTTAGTTGTATTTTGTTTTTTAAGGTGTGCTAATTGTTTGAGACAATCAAAAGATGAGGTTAATGATTAACTGATTAATTGTTGCTGTTTATTGTTAGTTGATCATCTTGATTATAACCAGATAATCAACTTAATTAATCAACTAACAAGAGAGAATGAGAAAAACAAAATAATCAAATGAAATGAATGCTTTGAGGTAAATTAATTGTTGAAAGTTAATTGTGAAAACTGAATTAAGATCTAAATTGTAGTTTGATTGTTAATTTTTTTACAACAAGATTAATCAAGAAAAAAACAACAAATTTAATCTCATCTAAATACAATTAACAATTTAAAATGATTATTCAAATTTTCATTATGATTAACTGATTAGTTGGATTACTATTACAAAGATACAGATTAGTTTTAATTGTTACTTTTGTTATAATCAAATTAAAGAGTAACAATTAATGATTTTTGATTAATCATTTGATGATTAAGAACAAAAAATTTGATTAATTTTCTTCCGCATCTAAATAACAATTGATTAAATGGTTAATTGTTAACTCTTCATGGTCCAAATGAAAATAAGATAATCTTAACTTAAATCATAACCAGATTAAAATTAATCCAGTTTAAATTGTCTGGTTACACCTTTTTAACCTATTGATTTAATTTACTAATACAATTAACTCAATCCAATTAATTATCATTAGATTTGCTTGTCCAACAAATTTAAATTGTTTCATCAACTTTTAATATCTCATTAATTGTGACTATTTTTTTTTCTTAATTATGATTCTAATTAGTGATTAATTAATTGTTTCCATTTACAGATATGCTGATTGTGATTCAATCTTTTCATTGTGGGAATCATTTGGTTTCACTAACGGTAAATTGCTTCTCAAGGTAAGTTAATTGTTTTCCTTAATTTAGTTAACCAACCAAAATGATTAAAACACTTTGAGACAAAAAGTCCAATCTTATTAAGTTTGATTGTTATAATTAAGATGTTAATCTTTAAATATTAATAGTAATTGGTTATTAATTGGATATTAGCTGGTCAACAATTTGATTAAATGTTTTTCACAATTAAAGACAATCAAATTAAATTGTTTCATCTGTTTCATTAATGGTTAATAATAAAAACTTTTTCATTTGTGTGTGTGTGTATATATATTAATTGGTTGATAATAATCAAAAATGATCAACAACAATTTAGCAACAATTTAAAGGTCAAATTATATCAACAGCTACAGATGATTATTTTAATAAATTAACAGCAATTAACACGCAATAAGTTAATTATTACCATGAAAAGTATAACATGTTAATCAACAAACTTTTTTTCTGAACTAAATTACTTGATTAATATTAAAAATACACAATCAATTTTGTTTTTAGCTTTTCCGATCACAATTAACGGTAATCATTTAAATATATATATTTACCGTTAATTGCTGTTTCCAGTTTTCTCACGTTTTAAACTAATCAACAATCAACAATCAAACAATAATTAACAAATCAACAAAATCTAATGTGTTACCCAAATTAAATTGTATTAACTATTAATTATTATTGTCTTACAAAACTATTATTAGTTTTGACAATATTATCATTACATAATTAAGTCCTCTAATCAACGGGGTGATTTATTATTTTAGAAACAATTAGTTAATTGTTGTATGACAATCTATCAAATTGTTACCTTGTTTGTTCAAAAATAATACTTTCAATAGTACGAAATTAACTCAATAGGAAGTATTTAAGTTCATTAACAATTTAATCATTGCCAATATCAATTTTGGTTGTTAGTTAATTGTTATCAATACACACAACAATCAACAAGATAATCAATAAATTGTCAAGAAAACAGTTAAATGTTTACATTGACTGAATTGAATCAACATGAACTTTTTTTTTGTCTGTTGTTAATATTTACCTTTAATCAATAAAGTTTAACAATTAACCTTAATTGTCCCAAGAAAAAGAGATAGCTAAAAAAAGATATCACAATTAAGTTAATTGTCATCTATTTATCATCATAATCAACTAATATGAAAATATAAACTAATCAATAATCGTGATTAGTGTTTGATGAATTAACTTGTTGTAACAATTAACAAACAAACCAAAAGGTTAATAATAAAATTGAACAAAATTTAATTTCTTTAGGGTGAAAATTAATGTTAATTGTAATCAATAAAATGTTAATTGTTGTAATAATTGTAGAGATGATTAGATGATAAGAAAATGATTCCCAATGAATCTTTGATTGTGGCAATATATTAAATTACAATAAACTGTAATTACTACTGGACGATGATGATTAACTTAATTGTGATGAAATTATTAATAATATCTGAAAACAAAATTTGCCAACGCAATAATCAAATCACTGATTGGGAAACAATCAACTAATCAATTGTGATACAATTTAGGCCATCAGCCTTTCCATATTTAATCATTTGAAGGGTTAATCAAGTAGTTGATTGTGTATTAGGTTCCGTTGATGATTATAATCAAGATTGAATGATGAGACTTGATGATAATGATGAAGATGAAAATCAAAATGAGGATGAACATGATAACCAACCGTTTGAATATACAGTGTGTTCATTTTTGTCTGCTTCTAAATTGAGAATCGATTCCATGATATTAATCAAATTAAATCGTGATGATCAAGTTCAACTGTTATGTATTTAATGGATTAAATGAGTTGATTATTAGAGAGAAATGATCAACAATTGATTGTTAAATTGTCTTGAAAAGTTTTTTCGCTACTCGAATTGGTTATATAAGTGATGCGAGAAAACTTGAACTTGGTCCAAATCCAAGTGGAAATCGAGTAAAAAGTAATTCGAAACTTATATAAATTAGTTGATTAGAAAATGATTGGAAATAGAACTTGCAATTAGATTGAATAGTTAACAATTGATTAGATATTTAGAATCATTATTTTGTTGAGAATATTTTAATTTTCGATGAACATATGAATAGAATTTTAATTACCATTAAATTGAGAGAAAATCAATAGAAAATCTTAATCAGTTGGAAAAGTTTTTCTCTTCGAATTACAATTAACTATCCTCTTGGACTGTAATAACCAGGAACTGCTTCGTAGAAAAAGTTTCCCGCTATTGGGCCTGAAAGCCCGTTTTCTATGGCCCAAGGGGTGACAGCAAACGCTAATCGGACGATCTCTTGAAGATCAGGTTCAAGGTATCTCGATTGACGATAGACCATGAAAACATATCGATAAGATCCTTGAAGTACGATCGGGAATGGGTTGAGATAAGGTGCGAAAGTGGTTCCGTTTTTAAGATCGTTACCTGGAATATTGGTAACCAGCCAGTGAAGAAGTGACAACGAAGGGGTTGGAATCGGTTTAATTGGGCCGATCATTATGAACGTGAATAAACTGTTATCATTTGGACCCGAAGTTACATCAAATTTTACCTCTGGTTGAATCAATGTATCGATTATTGATAAATTGGTTCCACAATTAACTTGTCTCTTTCTCAGATAACGTATTTTAATGAAACTTAATTGTTCATTTCTTTGTGTTTCGTTCAAACTAAAATCCTTGTTTATTAAATTGTCTTGGAACTTTTTCTCAACGGTTGCATTTCGACGGGGACAATAAATGTTATTCTGACACTGGACACTTAGTATATTGGTCAGAAATGTAACAATCAACAGATATAATAGACTGATCATAGTTGATAATTTAACTAGTAATACTGAGATACTTGAAAGTAATTCAAACAATCAAGTTTAATTAGTTGATTCATTTGAATTCATAACATTTGGTGAAAGTGAACAGATTTTATGATGAGAAAAAAAATGAATCTGATTATGTGATTGAACCATTGAAATTAGAATCAAGAGTTCATTGGATTCAGAGAAAGTTTCAAATAGATTTCGATATTTGAACCTTTTGGACACATCGAAATCGCTTCTCGAAAAGATGACCACTAGTCTTTGTCCATAACATGTAAATGTTGATTTCCATAATCAAACGTTTACCAATTGATACAGAAATCGTTTGAAGGGTTAATCAGTTGATCAGTTGATTGTTCATTAGGTTCCGTTAATGATTATAATCAAGATTTAATCAACAGACTGGATGATGATAAAGGATGAAGATGATGATAAACAACCGTTTGAATATACAGTGTGTTCATTTTTGTCTGCTTCTAAATTGAGAATCGATTCCATGATATTAATCAAATTGAATCGTGATGATCAAGTTCAACTGTTATGTATTTAATGGATTAAATGATTTGATTATTAGCCCTTAAAAAATGATTAACAATTGATCATCATTACCTATTAAATGCTATCATCATCATCATCATCACAATTTAATCATTATTGTTGATCAACATCTGAAGAATCATTTTATCATCAATATTTTTTACACCAGATGAATTTAATGTTAATCATTTAAATATTAATATAAAGTTTAAATTAATTGTAGACAGTTAAATTACTTGTTATATTTAATCAACAGTAACAATTAGGGCACACATACAAAAACCCGTTGTAATTATTGGACCAATATCAACTAATAGTAATTAATTAACCTAATAGCCTAATCCTAATTGTTATCAATGAATAGATTTGAGCAATTGAGTTGATCTTTAATTGTTGAAAAGTTTTACACATTCAAATTTATTACAATCAGGAAATTGAATCGATTTTGTTTCATTCTCATCATGATCAGCTAATCACTGATCCATGGTTGATGGTTTAAGATGATGAACATGATGAACATGAAGATGATGAACATGATGAGTTTCCATTGATTCAGTCAGATTCTGTTGGTTGAATATCAATTGAACCCAAAATTATGACTTTTTTTCCTATTCTTTTCATTATCTATCCTCCTCCACCTCCACCATCCGCTTCCCACCTCAAGGAACCACCAGTAACTATTATTATCCAACATGAGCCCATGAAACCATGAAAAAAGTTAATCATGATAACCTTGTCATTAGAATTGTTGATTGAATAGAAATCAAATCAATTCGGATTTTTTTCCCTATTCAAATACACATATATTATTATAACCATAATTATCTAATCAATTGGTCCCTTGTAATTCAATTAAATCAACAATTTGATTGTTGTTGTTGTTTTTATTCACATTGATTGTTACTTCTGATTGTTAATGATTAGTTGATTGTATATATTTAAAATGTAGTTAAGGTTAACTGGTTTTTTTCTTAACATTAGTTTTACATGTTAAACCAAATTTAGTTGGTCAATTTAATCACGGAAATCCGTTTGTAACAATTTATTAAATTCAAGTCAAATTTTTTGGTCTACCAATTTGATTTAATTTACAGTTGAATTGTGATTAAGTTAATTGTAAACCTGAGGTTTAAAAAGTGTATATTGGGTCACACATACACTCATGTATACAGTGTATACATTTATATATCATTCAATTTTTGATGATTCACTTTACTTGGTTAATTGTTTGATTAATACAAGTTGATTATTTGGTTAAAAGGAAACGGAAATAGGTTGTTATGTATTTGGTTAATGGATTATGAGCTTGATTAGGATCAATTGAAGCTCCACCGGTTGGATAAAGGGATTTACATCTATCAGAGGTTGGATCAAATTGATCCTGTGAACAGATTAAGCTGCTTAATCCAGCAAATGATTTATCCAGAAAATTGTTCATCGCTTGTTTACCTGAGTCTTTACATGAATTTGAGGTCATTCTGGAATTAAAAAGACAAAGAAACAACAACAATTAACAGTTAATTTAGCTACAATTAAGGTTCCCTTGTCAGAGATTTAAATATGTATATTGTTGATCCATTTTTAATCTCATAGAATCGGCTTGAAGTAATCAAGTTAATTGTGAAACAAAGTTAACACAATGATCAAGTTTATGGGAAGATAATTGTTGTTTAATTCTGTTTGTTTAGATTGTGATTAAGTTAATCGTTGTTTACTTACTCTAAAAGGCAGTTAATCCAACGTCGGTATGAACAACAGGTAAGATCAAGTCGATCATCAAATTGGGTTGATTTGTTAATTGTATCAATCGAAGCTAAATAAGGTTGATTACATTTCTCCTTATAATCTGATTTAGATAAAACTGAATCAGCAATACAAGGTGAATGGGCAAGAAAATCTATTTAAAAACAATAGAACAATATTATTGTCAACAATTAGCTAAACAATCAGCAACAATTAAGATTGAATTGAATAGTTACCTTGTCTTAATTGTCCAGGTTTACAGAATCGGTCGATTTGTTTACCAAAATGTTCAATAACGAAATCGAAAAGTTCATTTTGAATTGGAGTTGCACACTTTTCCATGTGATCTTTGAAACAGTAGATGACATCTTGAGAGTTTCTAATTGTTTAGAGATTGACAAAGGTTAATTGTGATGTAAATTGGTTGATTAATTTACTTACGAGCAAATCTGATCAATTCCAGAATCACTTGTAATCAATTTGTAGGCCTCAGGGTCATTTGAATAATGGTCAATCTTTTCAATACATTCATGGATCTCCTTTAGGTGACAATTTCCTTTGGGACGATTACCACGAAATTTATTTTTCTTACCATCACAATTAACTGGATTAATTATAATCAATTGAGTTGCGAAGATTAAAATTAACATGGAACCAGTAAATTGTCTTACAATTAGCTGATTGTTCATTGTACAATATTGAGAGTCTTGAAACTGAATCAACTAACACAATCAAAGGAAATTTTTACAATGAGAAAGAAATTTAAATTTCCACTGATTGTAAACTTTAATTTTAATCATTTTCTCTTAATTGTTTCATTGGGAAAGGGGAAAAATGTTTGATTGGGAAATTACTCAATGAGATAGTTGAGTAATTAAGTTAATCATAAGCAGAATGATGGTTAATTATTACCTTACGATTTCTATTGATTAATAATAATAGACAGAGAGAAATTAAATTAAATTGTCAAGTTGAATTGATGGACGAAAGTAATTAAATCAAATTGAGTTCAAAGTTTTTTAATTGTTTGGTCGTTTGTGTGACTTGTTGTCACTTTGTTGACGTTCATCGTTAGACCAAATCACAATTAAAGCTAAATTGTTGATCAGCTTCTAGAATCAATTGTATATTGAATATACCATTTGATTGTTGTGATTGTTTAACAATCAATTTATAGTTAATTGAAAAACTTTTCTGATCAATAAAAATGACGGAAACAATTGAAATGATTTGAATTGTTTGAATTTGTAATTGTTAAGATTGGTAACCTTGTCTTGAAAAGCATAACAATTAGTTTAATCATGATGATGATCAAGAGTATTATTCAATCAAATATCATAATAATAATCAATTACAATGGTTAGTTAATTGTGTAAATATTTGTCCATTAATAAATTGTCTGTTAATTGATTTGTTTCTCCTTAATTGTTGTCCACAAAAGGTTGATTGTGATGAGAAATTAAATTGTCCCAATTGACCGAATCACAATTGATTATGACAATGTAAATATTGATTAAATAATAATCATGTTAATTGTGATCAAGTTTGTTTGAACAAAACGATTGGACAACTGGATTAAAATTAATTGTTTTCTTTTTCAAATGATTAACCTTGATTTTCACTCGTGACTTAATATCAAAGCTTTTTAATTGTGATCAAGTTGATTGACCAAATAAATGATTTGTATAAATGTAAGTGATTTACTTGATTATCTGATTAATTGATATCGTTTAGTGATTATGTTATTACATTTTTATAGTTAATTGTTAATAATCATGTTCATCTCATTGATAACTATTGCCTCGTTAATTGTTGGCTTGATAATTCAATTATCAATGGTCATCAGTTTACCAACTAATCACAATTTAACTGAATCAATTTTAATTAATCATGAAAAAGTACCAACAGTGTTTGAATCAGTGAATTATAAATTGTTATCTTCATCATCTCAACCCAATCAAAGTTTAATTAATACAATCAACTCTAAATTGAAATCAAAGATGAACAATTTAAATGAATCCAGTTTATTATCATTGATTAACTATGATCCAATTTCATTGATTAAATTAACCTATCATAGTTTATTGGAATCACCAGTTAACAACAATCAAACAATTGAATCAATTGTGACAGTTGATCCAATCAGAGATGATGTTAATTATACCAATATAATTGATGATGATGATGATGAGGATGATGAGGATGATGAATCAATCTTGTTTACAGATGAGGTTGATGATAATGTCGATGATGATATTGATGATGATGGTGATAACAATCAAGATGATAATCTAAGTGTGGATGATGATTATTATACTAATGATTTAATCACAATTGAAAATTCAAGTTTGATTGAGAAAAAAGTTTCTGATCATCAGTTGATTAAACGATTACCGATAAATCAACAAGACCTGGAGACAATTAAATCGATCATGATTAAAGACGATAACTTAATCAATGGTTCCGTTGATCAAAGTGAAATGATTAGTAAATTTGACAATCAAATTAACTTGTTAACTAAATTGCCGTTGGAAAGATTGGATTCTCGAAGTCCAAAGTCACTTAGAGATCGAGCCAATAGTCATGCCAACTCACCAGCGACGGGATTGAGGTCACATCGAAACGGAACAAGATTTCGTGACGGATGTTCAACCTTACGATCATCGGAATACCCTCGACCTTGAACAATTAAAATCTGAATGAAAAAAAAAATGAAACTAATTATAATTAAGAGAGAAACAATTTATCAATAATCTTAATTTAGTTTCTCCATTCAATCAGCCATTTATTATTATCATTTATCTTCATATTAATTGTGTTTAAAATTGTGATTTAATTAAGAATCGTAATGATTAATTATCACTTATGATTGACTTGTTAACAATTTAACAATTTCAACTAATCAACAACAATAATCTTGAAATCAAAGTTAAATTGTTGTTCTTGGTCTGTCTCTTCATATTGATGATAATTAATGATGAAACTTTTTTTTTAAATTGTTACAAAAACATAAACGTGATTAACTTTGATTTTTTTTTTCAATTCCTGGTGATGGTTATTCAGCAATTGATTAATTATAATACAGTTAATTGCTGATGGAAAGAAACAAAATAAAATGATTTCATTATTTAACCAATATAAACAAAAACTGTCAACAATTAATGTTAATCATTGTGTTGATGATAATATTTAAATAGCAGTCTCAACAATCAACAATCAACGATAATCATTATCATCATCAGCATCATGCTGACATTAATTTTATTTGATTAACACTGAGGTCAACAATCTGTTGATTGTTGGTGAAAGATGAGATGACGATCATGATAATTAAACATCAACACACTTGATGAAAACAAATTGATTGGGACAAGTTAGGAATTAGTTGAACAACAATTAAGACCTGATATTGGGCCAATGTTATTGATAATGATGCGGATCAAGATGAAGATGGAGATGACCAGTTGACCATTGATGCTACTGTTCCGGTTTGTAAAGTGTGTGTGTGTTGATCATCTTGAATTACATTTAATTTAGTTTAGTTAAAATGATTAAGAAAACTTTTCAAGTTCTCACATCATGATTGACTTTAATTGATCAGTAAACGAAAGATGATCAAGATGATTAAGAAGAGGATGTTGATGAGAGATTTATGATTATCCTTATAATTTGGGTCTTCGTTAATCCATTTTGTGGTTAACTTTAATTCCTTGATTATGCTTCTTTTAATCTTTTCCTTAATTGTTCCTGTTTCCAAAAATGATTGCGAGAAAATAAAAAGTTGATTAAAAAAATTATTCGCAAATATATTGGTTAACATTATTATCTTTCAATGTAACAACAAGGAAGCTTTTTAATTTGATTGTTTATTGTTGTCGTTGATCATTTATAATCCATTGTCACAATTACCTAATTGTTTTTCATGATGATGGCGATGATAAGGTTCATCATAATCATTTAATGGTTATCATTGTATTGTTAATTATGTAAATTAACTTGATGCTGAGTAGTTATTATTAATAGTTGATTTAATTTTAATGATAACATGAATGTAATTTCATTGTTAACTGATTGATTGTTTACCTTTTTTTTTTACCATCACAATTAAATTGATTCATTTGAGTTGAATTGAATTTTTTACTTCTTCATGAAAAACAAAAATTGAAACTAAATTGTCCTTGATTATTGATTGTTGATCAATCCAAATTATATACCGAATATCAAATGAATAAGAAGCACGTGTGATGATTCATTAATTGTTGGTTAAATATTGACACAATTTGATGATAATCATCTTAATTGTAAAACTTAATACAACCTAAATTAAGGTGTAATTATAATCAACATGTTGGATTAAATTAATGGTAATCAAAAATTAGGTGAATCTTTAAAATATATAAGGGATCAGATGAAATAATCAGTCCAGTTTTCTTGATAATCCAAATGGTGTTGATTGTGATGAGACTTGCCAATTTGATTGTTGATTAGTGTTGGTCAATTAGTGAATCAATCATGTATTATTAATATACACCTTAGGAGAGAGGGAGAAAAATATATAATCAAGATAATTAACTTAACAATTGAATCAAGAAATTGGTTCAATTGTAAATGTACAGACCAAGAGGATGAAGAAAAAAAAGTTGAGATTCTAATTGTTGACTCCATTTTCCTTGATTAACTGTTAATCGGCAATAATATTAACTTAATTATATTGAAATGATAAGTTAATTGTCTAATTTTGATCACATCATAGGGAAAAAAAACCTAAAAACAATTTAGAATACATGAAAAAATTAGTTGACATAAAACGAGTTGAATTGTATCAACAATTTAATCAAATTGTTAATGTTTTTCAAGGCTTCTTTAGATTATCATTAAATCAACAATCAGCAACATGAGAATTGGCAATTGGTTAAAATTGTAGTGAGAACCAACTGATTATCTATTGAATTTAAGGTGAAATATAAAAGGTAAACAATCAAGTTAATTATAAATAAATCACACTAACAAAAACACTTTCATTGTCACATGTAAGTTAATTGTGTACACCAAAATGTAAGCTAAATTGTTGGATATTGAGAGAGAGAGAGAGTTAATCTTGATCTAGAGCATTATTATCATCATTAACTTAATTATCGTAGAGTAACAATCAACCTTAATCACGCTCTAATTTTCTCACCTTTTTCATCTCAAAGTGAAACTGTTAACCCGTTTCTCTCTAATCAATACTTGATCTAATCTTTTATTTTTCTCTTTCTTTCTCATCATTATTATGATGATAATCATCATCATCATCATCATCTTTCTGATGGATTAACTAGGATCTTGGATTCGATAATAAAACCGGGCGGATTAATGTTCGAGATTTATCAATCGCTCTTGAGGAAGAGCTTTTTGCCTCATTCACCAATGCAACTGATCTGTTTCAAATCTCATTAACTATGTTCCAACATGAGCTTAATTATACCAAGTAAGTGATGATAATCATGATCATTTGAATGAGTGTCTATCCTTAATTAACATTAAAAGTGTAATTGTGTTGATATACATTAACACCCCAACTGATTTGCGTGTGTGTTGATTGTGATTAATGTTGTATCAACTTCTTGTTTCCAGTTTGTTTTCAGGCTTTGTGATGATTGTAACTGTTTGGTTGATCCTTTCAGTGAGAAAAAAAAAGTAAACAAGAAAACACAGCAATCAGTTAATTGTTTGATAGAATGAGAAGAAAAAAAAATCACAAATTAGAACATTTTTACAATTAATAATTAGTATCAAAGATTAGTAACAATTAAGGAAAATCTCAGCCAGAAAAGTTTCTAAATTGTTTCTAAATCAATATTAATACTTTTACCGTTATAATCAACACCTTATTTGAAACATTATTGGGACAACTAAATCCTTCGAGTCATCAATTGGAAAATTACAATTTAAATTAATTGTAATTAGTGATAACCATCAACAGGCGTATTAATTAGTTTAATATTAATTGTATATCCATATAATGATTAACTTTTTGTTCATCCAACTTTTCTTGCCTTCAATATATTGATTTACTTGAGTTGATAATTATATACTTGTTGTAACAATTATTAAATCAATCAGCTTGTAAATCATTTCGCATCTTTTTTTTTGATTGCAATTGATAAATTAGCACACAATTAAGATTTTGTGGTTTTGCTCAATCGATTAGTCCTTCCCTCGGTCAGATTATTATTAAATTGCTTCTGAAACAAAATAATGATAATAATAATCAAGAATCAAATCAATATATCAATCAAAATGAGATTGGATCCAGTTAGTTGATTGTAATTCATAATTACGCGGAAAATGAAATAAGAATCAAATTAAAGATTAACAATTAAGTTAGAAAGGTAAACAGAAATTGATCAATATTACCGCAAATCTATCAAATTCAGTTAATTTTCAATCCAATTCAACGGTAAATTAATTAAGTAGCAATCAAATTGATTCCATTTTTATCAACAACAATTTCCATCTAATCCAAACAATTAAAAGTACAGCTCAATATTTCATTAATTGTAGTTAATAAATCTGTAAAATAAACAACTAATTAGTGTAATTAATAAAATAAATTCAGTTGTTCAGCTACATTAAATCACAATCAAGATGATAGCAATTAGAAACGATGATTAATATTTAAAAAGGATTGGTGATAAACTTTCAATCAATTAAGTTAAATTAGTTGTTAACTCATGTTGATTAGATTTACAATAAAAATCCCAAAAGGTTGTTGATTAACATGTTAATCCAAGCAATCAAATAACCAACAAGTAATTTAATAGGAACTTAATTAAAAGCAGAATGAGAAACTGAATCAACTCATTTTATGTATATTAATATATGATAAATAATAAACTTGGTTAATGTTTACTTGATTGTTGATTGATTAACTTTCATCATCAGATAATCATCATGATTACCAATAAGTAATAAATTGTTAACATGATGATTTATTTAAAATAATTATCATATCATCAGAATAATTATTAAGATAATTGTATCAAGATGATTATGATTAATATTTTATATATAAAAAAAGATGAAGACACTTTTGAAACAATCTACTAATCAACTGAAATCAAGAAAATTGAACACGAAATTAATGATTATAATCAACTGGACGCTCCTTTGCCTAATCATCACTTTAAATAGCAATAAATTGTTGATAAAAAGGCAACAATTATAACGAACGGGTTGTTGATTAACCTTTTCATTTCACTTTTTAATTGAAAATAAACTGGATCTCCAATCTAATTTGAATATATTTTGATGTCCTCCAACTTTTTGTTGATACATTTTCAATTCCCTTTGGACGATCAACTAATTATCTTGATTATCTTCTTGATTAACAGGATCTTGTATGAACAAACTAAAGCCGAACGAGATCAGCTAAGGGTCAATCTAAGTGAGGCCAATGCACGAGCCGATTTACTTGCCCAAGAGGTTGACGATCATCATGCGAAACTGGAAAAAACATCGAAAGAAAAATTAATGTAAGATTAATCAACTTAATTAACTAATTTCCAATCTTCTTTGTCTTCAATTTTTCATTTACCAAATTTCACATTACCATTTCCCATTTTCCTTATAAAATCGCTCTCGGTGTTGATGGAGATTATAATTAACGATGATGATGATTATCAACAGGAAAAGGCGTTTGTTCATCTTTCCTCATCTTTTGCTCTCCCATCATCTTCCAACAAGTAGGACAAGATTATTTAGAAAATCATGTAATCTGTAAATCTCATAATCTTTCTAATTGATTTGATTATTTGATTTACATTACAAGAGATTAAAAATTACTAATTACAATTAGTTAAGGTTTAGAATGTTATGAGTGATAATAACAATAATCACGACGAAAGAAATTGTTTTCATTATTATTATCACTAATAACTAAATCATTATATCCATCAAATTGAGTAATAGTTGGAAATTCAGTAAAAAAAGATTCAACTTTTTTTCGAGGGAAAAAGTAACTTTTTCTGTCTTCTTTTATCATCTTCCTTGGTTGATATTTTCTTCTTCCTGGAACATTGTTGATGATGAAACTTGTTCTTTCATCATCATCACCATTATTATTATCGTCAGAACATTTTCTTTTTCTCCCTGGTTATGAATTTCCTTCAGCTTTTGGTGTCTTTTCTTTTCCTTCTTTACTTGTATCTTCCTCTTTATGGTCATCATCATCATCATCATCATTGTAGTGATTATTGTCACCACTTTTAAATTAACCTCTATTTCTGATTCCATTAAGATCATCATCAATTTCACTAACTCGTCCTATTTTGATTATCATGATAATCGAGCGCAGAAAAAGTATACAAAAAGTGGCTGCGACTCATGGGTCCATCCTTTTGCTTTCTTTAATTGTTGATAAGCTAATTATGAATTTGGATTTCCCTTTTTTACTTTCTTGTTACCATCATCATTATTGTTGTTATTGTGATGAATAAAAAAATTGGGATGACAATGATGATGATGGTGATGATGTTCACGATGTTGATATCATCATTATTGCAATTGATGTTCAACTAAATTGACAGTTGATTTTGAAGAGTGAACTTAGGGTCAACCTCAATGTCCATCAACTCCTACAAATTTTGTTTCTTCTTCATCATCATCTTGATTTCTTTCATTTTTGACTTTTCCTTTTTCATCGTCATCTTTTAATTTTACCTGAGAAGAAGAGAGAGAGAAAAAAGAGAATAGAAATTATAAATAAACAAAATGAATAAACAAAATAATAGAATAAAAAACAAATATATAAAAAGAGAATTAGCTTAATGTTATGTATTAATACCTGATCAACATTCAGTTAATTCTTATTATATAAAATTCAAAAATCACCCAATACATGATGAAATAATTTCTCTACTCACATTTTAGAGAATTTTATCATTTTTTTGTTCGTTATTCTGGTGGGCAAGGTGATTCTTCAAATATCCAGGCTGAGATTATTTATATTCATCATCTTTTTAGAACAAAATCAAAAATATCAAGTATTATCTCATCTTTTCTTGAGTGAGTGGTTAGCACTTGTTATTCGCCCACTAATTTTTTCACCAAGGAGAAATTAATGGTTAGAAAGGAATCTATTTACGGACATACACATAACGGTTACTCCATCATCATAAAATGATGATAATGAAGATAATGATGTTCTTGATGAGCTTGTAAATGAAGATGAGATGTCCCTTCAAAATCGTTGTCAACACTTCTCTCACGATTCATCATTGAGCTTGGACCTGGAAGAGAGTAAAAAAAAAACGAAAAATAGAAAGAGAAATTATTTCTTTTCTCTCTCTTTCTCTCTCTCTCATTATCCTCATCACCATTTTCAATAACGAACCTTCGTCCTGGTTTTTGGTGAATAGAAAAAAAAATCTCTCAATGGGTTAATGATGATGAAGAAAATTTTCCATTCCAAGTCCAGGAAAAAGTGGAAAAAGATTCATCCTATTAACCCAATCACCAAGTTGCACTTTCTAAATTGTATCTGTATGTTTCTCATAGTAAATACATCGCCTTCGTCAGTAATTGTTGTTGATTATGATTAAGATGAAGATAATGATGTTATTGACTAACCACAACAAAAGCCAGAAGCATGTCTACAAGCTACAAATACAGAAAAAAAGAGAAAAGAAAAAAAAAAGAATAGATTATATTTATATACACAATACAAATACATGTATAAATATCTACATGTTAAAAGGTATAAACATGCAAGTAACATATAAAATTGAAACATTTTAACCAACAATCAGGTAATCAGTAATTTCTGATGATGATGATAATAAAAAAAACAACATTCATTTCACATCATTCAATAATATTAACTTCTAATGATATTTCATTCTTATCATCATCATCATCATCATATTTAGATATAAACATAACCTTACCTTTTACTTTTTTTCTCTCTCTCTCTCTCTTCATTTCTCTTGTTGTTATTGTTGATTATTTGATTTTGATCACGATTTACTGATGATGATGATGGTTGTATAATATGTATGATGATAAATTAATCCTGCTACCTTAATATGATAATATGTTTATACCAATTTGTTTGCTTGTAGAAAACTTAATTCACCTTCTTCTGGCCCATATTGATACTCATAATCAACTGTTTTTCCCATCGGATCACCATATCCATCATCATAATCATCATCGTGTTATAATATCATGAAAATTGAGTAAAAAATCAGAACAAAAAAATATCAGAATTGAGTGTTTATATCAACTTGAATGTAGAATCCAAGATTTGCAAAAAGTAACAAGATTGATGGAGATTGAATCAAGAAGATACCAGATTAATTGAATTGGATCAATTTCATACCTGTAAGAGACAAGTGAGAGAGAAAGAATAAAAAATGGAGGTACAATTAATAGAATTAGTAGAAAAAAATATACAAAAAAAAAGGGTTAATCCAAATATAGTAAACAGAATAATCAACAAGGTATAGAATCAATTAAATGTTGACTTACCTTTTGTTTGATTTTGTCAATTGTTGGGAAATGTGAATGTGAATTTCTCACACTCACTATTTCCTTTGATTTGTGTTACTAATTGTTAATCATCTTGATTAATTAGAAAATTAACTTAAATCAAGAAAAAGAAACAAATTAAATTGGAATGGTAACTAAACGGTCATGTAAATTAAAATGGAAAACAAGTGAAGACAAAGGAGAAATTGGAAAGATCCAGAAAAAGAAAGAAAAATTAGTCATTCTTTTTATTTTCTATTCTTTTCTGTTTTGATTGGTTTGATTTTCTCTGTTGAAAAGTAATTAATTAAATGGTTTTCTTTTCTCTTTTTTGTGTTAATTAGACTATTGGAACGTCGTTATCAAGAGCAAATTCGGTGTCTTCAAGATGAATTTCAAAAAGACAGAGATTCATTGGGATCTCAAACTTGTCAGTTACGCAAAGAATTGTCAACAATACAAATCGTTTCTTCAAACAATCAATCCAAATTGGAAGATATTATTTCATCTCTTAAATTGGTAAGTTGATTGATCTTCAATTAACTTCAATCTTTTTCTCTCTTTTCATGTTCTATTCAATGTTCATCACATTTCACCTGCTAATTGTTCAATGTTAAGGTCAATCGGAATCTGGCCCTTTGTGGCTTGACAACAAGATTTAAAGATCAATAGGCCTAAGAGATTACCAGTATCTCTCTATATCCAAAAATCTGCCCAACAATTGGATTAGATTAAGATTATTTTGGTTGAATTTTCTTTTTCTTTTCTTCTTCCCCATCATCATGTTTCCTGATGTTCCTTTTTCCTCAACCCTATTCACCTTCAATATCATGTTACAATCGTTATAACCTCTTGTCAAACTTGTTAAATTAACCTCTTCTCAATCAATCTCATCTAATTAACTTGCTGTTAAGTATATTCTATTTTCTAACTGATTACATGTTGAATTTTGTTTCACTTGTCCATATATTGAAAAAGTTCCAGTGACTTGAATCTATTTCATTATCTTGAAACTCATGTTTTCGTTTTCTCAATCAGCTCTCTGAATCTTGTTGTCATGTTCATCATCATCATCATCTAGGTCATCATCTTATTATTTTAATTGTAACATCATAACTCTAATGATAATCAATATTCAATCTTTAATAAGAACATAATTGAATAGAAGAGCATGAAAATTACATGAAAGGGTTTGACTTTTTGCTTATTAATCTTTTATACTCATTGTTTTCTTTTATTTTCTTTTGTTCTTTTCCATCTTGGTGTCATCATCATCGTCATTTCTCTCTCTCTCTCTCTCTTCATTGTTAACGATGGTTTATTGCCGATGATTGGGTTAATTTGCTATTGAATTTCCATCAACAGGATAATTTAAGACTGGAGAAAGAAGTTCAAGATTTAAGTGATCGGTTGGCCGATGCAATTAAGGTTAACATTGACTTACAAAAAGAGGTTGAAGAAACATATTCAATCAAGAAAAAGGTAAGGCCAATTATCTTATCCTCTTTGATTTTTTCTTGACTTTTGTTGTTTAATTTGATATTTACCATTAACTTTGACCAATCCTCATGTTAATTGCTTCAAGTCAGTTATATGTCAACAACAATTCATAAATGATAAATGAAGAGGCAAAGATGAAATAATTGCATTTGAATCTAATACTTTTGCCTTCATCATTTTTTGTTTTGTTTTGTTTTGATGATGAAAAACTAATGAATATTATCAAATAGTCAAGGTTAAATAATATTAATAATAATAACTGTTGATTAAAGTGGTTGATCTATAATTATATGTTAATCTAATATTTATTTTGTTTTCATTCATCTTAGTTATCCGAGATTGAATTGTTCCAAGTTTTTGATAAAGAAGCGGAATATCAAGGATTAATTGCTGATAATGAGATGCTTCGTCTTCAGAATAAGGAATTGAGAGATGAGAATGATGGACTTATACTGGAAATGGAAAGGATGAATCAAAAATTGGAAAGAAGACAGAAAAAAGGATCCAAACATGATGCAGCTTCATCAATGAAAAGGATGAGAAGTTATCACAAGAATTGGGCCAATGAGATATGAGATTAGAAATGTGAACCGATTCAACAATATTTTGGAAACAGAAGAAACAAAGTTCATTGATGGAACCTGAAACCCTCCAAAATTCACTATATATATCAAGAGATGTATATATTTTTTCAAAGAAACACCAACAACAGGAGCAGAAAAAAAGACTGGAAAATGGAAAACTTGTCATCCGTTCAACTGTCAACAATTGTGTCTCTTTTTTTTGTATCATTTATCCACAATTATTGTATTGTTGACAAATGAATTTGGGTTCATTTTCACCTTGAAAATTATTATTTATCTCTCACTCAGGTATCCAAATCATTCAGAAAAGCTCATGGTCATTTCTGTTTAACCTTTTCTACTATTGTTTATTTTTTATTTCTCATTTGTTTGTTTCTGTTGAATTTTTTTCTCCCTCCATTTCTCCCTCTCGTCCTCTCTCTCTCTCTCTCTCTCAATGTTCACTAAAATTAGTGGCCTTACCAATGGAAAAATTTTGGGAGCAAGAAAACACATCAATACCTCTATCTTTATCTCCCTCTTTCTCTCACACATATATACCTGTTGTAATATCATCTCCTTCATCCTCATCCTCATCCTCATCTTTTGTCATCTTCAAAATCATCATTTATCTTTTTTTTTGCTCTCTTGTATTATAACTATTATCATGGGGTGATGGTCATCGTCTTGTCATGTTTGTTATTTGGTGTTTACAAAATTGACAAGGAAAACTTGACCTGCTAAATCAAATCTAATTGCAATTGAATCAAAAACGTAAACTTCATCATCAATCAATGGTGTTTGATTAAATTAAATGTAGAGATTCATATTATTTACATTCCTAAATTGAGATAAATCAAAACAGTCCACAATTGTTATTACTGATTAATTACTGAATTTAATTAAAACTCTTTTTCTTAATCAATCTGAACAATAAACGATGATTAAGTTAATCAAATTTTTCCATATCATCGGCAAATTATTATTTCACTGAAATGAAAACTTTTAATTCAATTGATTTTCAAATATAATTAACTATATCTGATAATCGGTTCACAGTTACACTTAACTTTTACTGATGATTAATTTATAATCTAAATGAATTAAATTACAATTGTAATTGTAACATGATAAGTTAATTGTAATTCGGTAAAAAATTGTTTGATTAACTGTATTTGTAGTAAATTGATTATGGGATAAGATTAATTTACTCAAGTGTTTTGAGGATTTAGTTGTTAATCATAACAATTATTAAACTAATTAATGTTGATTAAATTGTTTATTTTTCTTTACCATAATTACGGTAAAAACTATTGAAAGGTAAACACAATTTAACCCAAATCAATTAGATCCTCTTTAACTAATTACTTATTTCTCTGGTAATCAATAATCCGATAATTGTTGATCGTTGAACTTTAATCAGAATCAATATTAACCGAGTAAATTATTAATTCTGCGATAATTTAGTTCAGTCACTTTTTCCCAAAAAATTGTGAACCAACTCAATCGTATAAATAACAGAAGAAACAATTAAGTAAATCCAATTGTAATGAATAATTATTAAAATAATAATTAGAAAAAAATGATCACAATCATCAAATTTGGTTAATTAGTTGATATTTTTGCTCTTGCTTAGGGTGGTTTATTTGGTCGGGGTGGGCGAGGAAAAGCAGAAATAGAGAGAGACTAAATGCATATCAAGGGCTCTTGTTAATTGCTGTTAATTAACATGATAGATTTAAATTGTTGTACACTTAGGATGAGAAAAGAGCAAGAGAGAGAGAGAGAGAGAGAGAGAGAGAGAGAGAGAGACATAGTAAACAAAGTGATCATTGTATAAACGTTTTTGTTACACTTCTCGCAATTATCTTGAGTGTGATTAAATTTTTAGGAAATTAGTGTTGATTAAAAATAACTGCGTTCATTTAGTTAAATATTTATACATATATAAGTATCTAGGGTTTTTTGGTGGTTGATGTTGTTGTTGTTGACAATTCTGAAGGTGATGGTAAACATGGTTGAAATGATGAAGTGTCATGATAATGATTTTCCGGCATTTCTGGTATCTCTTTGAGATGATTTTCTCCATCACTTGTTGTAACTAAATGATCACTTTGATTAACTGTTTTCATTTGCTGGGAATTATATTGAGAATCTATTGAACGGCGGGCTTGTATTCTACAGCATTTGGAACATTTTTGATTGGCCTGATGATTATAACAGAAAAGATGATAACAGGTATGACAAGCGGCACATTGATGAATTCGACCAATTTCAAATGGAAATAGAACATCTTTCTTATTACAAAGTTCACAGAAATAACCACGAGCTTTACAATAATCACATCGAGAAACGTGATTAATTGATTCTTTGACTAGAGACCAACATGATTCTAAAAGTTTTTTCGATCGTTTGATTGTGATGAAATCTTCTAGAGAGTAAAGGTTAATATCATTTTTGATAAAATGTTGAGGTTCAAATGAATTGAAACAATGAATTGATTCAGTTGCATTTTTACAGGTTGAAATGTATTCCATCAACGATTTTAGTTGATACCTAAGGTCTAATAGTTTGTTTAATTGTTTAACTCGTTTGTAAAGGCTTGGATTTTGATCATTTATGTGAAATAAAGGTTCTTCGCGAATTTTTTCCAAAAATTTAACGGCAAAATTGGAGATCGGATAATAGGTGAAATCCCATTTGTGTAAAACAAAAGCGGGTAGAATAGCTTTACGTCCCGAATGACAGCCAAGGCGACAGAAAAATTTCCCTGTATAATAGCAGAATAATATTCCATGGAATTCTTTACTTTTAGAATCAATTTGAAGACCACAACCGGCACATCGTTGATTTTGATTATGCCATTGGGTAAATTTGTCTGTTGGTCGTTGAATGTTGCATATAAGTTGAGGTCGTAAGGGTGCCCAATGTGAATTACCACGAAGTTTAATGTTTGAAGATGACGATGATGATCGGGTTGCTGATGAAAGTGCAGCTTGAAGGTGAGATGTTGAAAGTGATTGAAATGATGAATGATTTGTAACAATTGGACTTGTATTTGAAAAAAGGGAATAACATGAGCTTCCACTGCGACGGATGGGTAAAGATTTGGTACTGGTTCGAGGTTCGGTACTAGAGGTTGGCGAGCTCATCGTTAAGGGTTGAAGGGAAGATCTTCGGAATAATGGTTTTTGAGAATAATTTGTCAACAACTGAACAGCTACAGATTCCGCTGAACTGTCCGCTAATTCAGTGTTATCCAATCGTCCCAAAGAAGACATTTCTGTTCCTGTTTTATTATCAAGGTCCAAAGCCACACAAGAACTGATTTCACCTGAAATAAATTGTGGGAGGGAGAGAGAGAGAGAGAGAAGGACATTATGAAGGTTAATTTAAATGGTATACAAGTTAATCAAATTAGTAACATACTTAAATTTGAAATGGATTCAGAGAAAGAGGTAAGTCCTGTCTCGTATTTAGAAGCAATTTTAGAGACTTGTAAGGAATCTGTATCAACGATTGGGCTGAAAACATCTGATTCAGAATTTCTTTGATCACCTCCTCCACTTCCTGATCCACAACCACCATTACTACCACTACCTACGCCTCCACCACTACTTAACCAATCTGATGATGAAAGATTGATTCCATCTTGGTAAGATGAAGGAACCGATGAGGATCCAGATGAAAGTGTTGTTGGTGTTTCACCTTCACCATCATTAACCTCATCAGGTGAGGTTATGATTGTAGAAGATGATGACTGTTGGTGGGATTGTTGTAGTTGTAGTTGCTGTTGTTGTTGTTGACCAGCTTGAGCATGATGTTTGGCTAGGAAAATGTCACATTTAATTTCTTCAAAAGTGGCAATTAGATGATCAGTTATGATGAAATGAAGATTCTCTCTTTCCAAGGTTTCCAGTGAATCGGAATTAGTTTGGTTAAGATGTTTTAATAGATTTGATAAGAAATAACTTTGGTTTTCACTGTCCAGAGACATAGGAAATAGATCATTATAAGAACAAGAAAAAATAATAGTAATTAAAATAAATGACAATTAAAAAAAGGCCCAATTGGTAAACACCACAATCAGAATTATTTAGAAATCAAAGTTATTCCATTAGGTGGCTCTGCATATATTCTCGTCTGCGCATGCGCAGGAAACGTACAGCTGATTTTCGGCTTTGGTCTAATTTTTGTTTTCATTTAATTCAAATGTGATGATTAGTTAATTATCGAGTTTATTAATTATTTAATTAGCTTATGTATTGAATATATTTAGGAGAAAATTTGTTGAAATTTTAGGTTTTGGGAGTTTTTCTTATTGTAAGGTTGGTATAATTGTAAGGAGAAAAGTAAATTCAACTTATCGAATTTAATTTAATTCCAAAATTGTTTTGGTCACAATTTAGAGAAAATAATTTTTATTTCTCTTTAATCATGTAAATTGACTGATTTGATTGTTGATTAACTTTTAATTTAACATGTGGCTGTTTAAAGTTTACTTTGGAACCAGAATTTATTTGCTTGTCCAAGGAAAGTGAAATTTTTACCGTTGGTCAAACCCTTAAGGACACAAATGGACAAACCACTTCGGTCAAATTTTAAATTCTTAATTCCAACCCATTCACCAGTTACCGAATCAAATTTTTCCACTTTATTTATTGGTGTTTGTCCATTGTAACCACCGACAGCATAAATATTGTCACCAAGTACACAAGCCGAGAATGTGCTTCTTTGTGATCTCATGTTTGGAGCAGCGACCCAACACTTCAGGTCAAAATCATATCTTTCCACGGTTGGTAATCTAATTAAAAACGAGAAGAAATTTTTTAATAATTTAAACTAATTTTCTTTCAATCTTTTCAGAACTTGTAAGGTTTACCTTTCGAATCCATTATTACCACCAAGAGCATATAATGAGCCCTGGTAAGAGACCAAAGATAAACTAGTTCTTGGTGAACTCATCGGTTGAATTAGTGTCCACTTTTGGATGGCCGGATCATATACTTCAACTGAATTCTCAATCACCTGATCATTTAAACCTCCGGCAATGTAAATTTTACCTTCATGAATAGCAGCACATCCATCTGATCTTGCTAAATTCATCTCAGCAATTTGAGTCCATTGATTGTGAACCGGATCATATCTTTCAACTGAACGTATTCGGTGTAAACCATTATGACCTCCCATTGCATACAAAAACCCACCAAGAACCGCGGTTGAAACATAGCAACGTTGCTCGTACATGTTTGACCGTTGAAACCACTTACCAGTTAATGGATCGAAACAATTAACCGTATTCAAGATTCACTTCCATTGGTTCCACCGATAAGATAAATTATTCCAGAGATAACTTCGATACCATGATAAGCTCTTGGAACTTTTTGACCAATTTTACATTCAAACCATTTATTGGTCACTCGATCATATGTTTCGATCAAGGTTGTTGGAACACCTTCTTGCCAGCCACCGATAGCGAAGATAATTGATCCAGGGATTCGAGGTCGAATGTGTCGAGGAGTTAAACCGACAGGGAGACCATGGCCATCTAATGGTTTTTTACCGAATTCATGACGATTTTGTTTAATCATCGCAGAGACCAATTTACTGAGGGAAATATCGGTCAAAATTAACGGATCTTTAGCCAATTTGTTGGTTAAAAATGATTGGGTTACTCGACCATGTCGAAGGTAACGAATTAATCTGTTGACAAGTGACCCAGGGGAGGAAGAAGCTGAACTTGATGAAGGTTGTTCATTAATCCAACGCTTAATTGCATCCCAAATTAGTTCCTCCGATTCAATATCAAGCTCATCATCATCCAATAAACTTTCAAGATGATCTAATTTTAATGAAGCAAAATTAGGCGATGAAGGAATTAACCAAGCAAATTCCCGTTTAATCATTGACCAAGCAGCAGATCGAAGTCGATGATTATGTTTAACACCCAAATAGAGGAGAGAGATACAATTTTCTCGAGTCAAATGATTAACCAAATAATTACAACAAGCGACAATTATCTCATTCATCTCAAATTTCTCAGCAGTTTCCAGAATTAACCAAACTCGACTATAAGGTATACTAAAGGCTCCTTTATAAGCACAATCAACTAGAACCGCTAACACGGAACCAGGAATATCGGACAAATGAACCCGTTTAATTGAACTACATTGCGAACAAGATTCACCAATATCATTACCAGTTTCACCTTTACTGGTTGAAGGTTTTGGATCATCATTAATTGACTTATTGTTTGGATCATTAATTTGTTGGTAAATCAAATCACTTAATTTACCACTAAGAGCGGACATGACGGCAAAATGGACTGGAAACTCTTTACCATCAGAGGAAATTAATATAATGTCACAAAAAGAGTTGGTAGTCTTTAATTTCTGCAGGACAATTGACCGATCATAATATGAATCCCAATCAAAATCGGGTTTACCTTTACTTAATTCAACAATATCCGATGGCAATTTACCTTGATCACCAATACTAACACAATCAACATTAGTATTAGGAACCATAATTAACCGTTAATGGGAATTGTTTCCGTTTCAATCTCCTAATATATTGAATGAAACTAAAAAGAGATAAATTTGAAATGAATTAGCGAAACAATTAAGCCAAAATAATACAATCAAATCGTAACCTTTTAGTTATATAACAATCAGGGATACGATTGACAACCAAATTGCCTAATTGTTTAAAATGAAGTTGTAATTGTTGACAATTAATTTCCGTTTTATTATATTAATCAATTACCTAAATATCCTAACAAATAACAAAAAAGCAATTTAATGTTTCTTACAAATTGAAACAATTTAAATTGTGGAAAAGACTAATAATTATAACTACTACTTGTTCATTAATCAAGGTTAAATTGTCTTCTCAATTGGCAAACATCATAAATGTTAATTATGATGACGAAAGTTATGACGATGATAATTAATAAGCTAAATTAGTTTTCACTGAAAAAAAGTAAATCATGAAAATTAAGATGAATCAATTGATAAAATTACAGTTGATTCATTGAATTGATACAATAAAATGATTAATCCAACTACTACAATTAAGAAAAACTGATGATGATCGTAAAAGTATTAGATAACAATTCAAGTATATAATCAATTTGCAAGAACAATCAAACTGAATCAAATTGATTTTCCACTAATCCAACACCAATCAAGATCAACCAAGGGACAATTAACTTTATCAAGAAAGTGAGAGTTTTAAATTACATTGAATTTGTATCTCGTTAATTGTTGAAGAAGATGAGTGATGGTGATTAGATTAACACAGCGAACAATTAACATGTTAATCAAGTGAAATTAGAAAAATTTAACAGAAAGAAAGAAAAATTTTCTTTTTTATCAATTGTTCTTTTCTACAATTGTGACATTTTCTAATTTCTATCAACAACCTTATTCTGATTCTGATCCAGTTTCTGTTGGAGGTTTCAAGAGAAAAGGTTTTCTTGTTCTCTCTCATTTTCTCTCCTCCTCTTCCTCTATTTCGGTGACAATAACAATCAACAATTCTCATTACAATTGTTACCAAATTGCATCTTTAAATTGTTACCATTTAAGCGAAAAGGTAAGTTAATCATTTTCTCACAATTAACTGTTCCAATCATCGAATCACTTGTCCTGTTGTCAACTCTTTTCATCTCCATCTTTCTCCAGTCTTTCAATTCTCTGTCTTTGTCTCTGTCTTTTCCTTTATTCTCTCTTTCAGTTATCATTTTTTTCTTCTTCTTTCCTAATGTTGGAAAATATTAATAATTAGATTAATCATCTCTTAATCTTCTTCTCACTTTCTATTCCAGATTCTCTTTACAATTTAATCCGCCATCTTAATTATTACTATTCTTTTTTAAATTTATTTTCTCATTGGTAACAAATTTCTCCATCTAAACAATCAACTGTTACATCATTTTCCGGCTTCATCGTTCAACCGTCTTGACGACATTTTGTTTTCCTCTTCCTCTTATCACAATTTATCATCTCGTTTACATCTAAGTTTAATTTTTAATTAACCAATTTCGCCATTTTGCTTGGAGTAAAAGTCTATTTTAATTCTTCATTTCTCTTGGAACACACAAGGTAAGCTAACATGTTCTTTTCTATTTTGAACAATTTTTTTCTATTCTCTTTCTGGTTAACCTAAATTCTATTCTAAAAAAATTGATCTCTACATTATTCTATTCTCTTCCAATATGTTTGTGTGTGTTTGTCCTTAACCTTTTCAAGTTGCCCGCTTACATATTCCATTAGCCATTGATTGTGGAAAAAAAAGAAAGAGATGAGAGAGAAAAATGAAGATTCAACTCAAGTTGACTCTTCATCTTGTGTTTATGTTTTGTCTCTTTGATAATCATTGATTCTCATCATTAGATTATCAACATGATTGTCTGAATCTCCTTGAGTCTTTTTTATTGTCCTTTGGCAACAAATTAACAATAAATTGATTCTCTTCAATTCTGTTAATAATTAATCTTCTTTGCATTTGTTTCATTTGTTTTTGTTTCTAATCAATTATGTCTCTTCTTTCTCTCCGTAAAGCTTTATCATCACATTACTCAAGTTCTTACGGATTATCAGCTGTGATTAGAAATTTTGGCCCAGTAAATTTTTGTTTCGAATTCAAAACTGCCAAGGAATCACTTCTCTTCAATCTCATCGATATAATCAACAACAATCTACACTTTTCTCTTCATATTCTGCACATCAATTTATCCATCCTTCAAACTCCCCGTTATCCGTTAATCAAATCAATTTGTCCTTTCAGCGAAGTACAATTGCATTAAGAAAAATGTCAAATCAATCAGAATCTAATTCTCACATTCTTACCCTTGAGACGATTAATCAAAGAGTTAAAGAAATGGAGTATGCAGTTCGTGGACCTTTGGTGATACGTGCTGGTGTCATTGAGAAGGAATTAAAAAATGGACAAACCGATAAACCATTTTCAGAAGTAATTCGAGCAAATATCGGCGATTGTCATGCAACTGGACAAAATCCTTTAACTTACCTTCGCCAGGTAATCGCTTGTTGTACTGATACAAGTCTCCTTGATAATCCTAAATATCCAAGTGACGTTAAAGAAAAAGCTAAATCATTGTTATCTTACTGTGGTGGTCATTCGGTTGGTTCTTATTCAGATTCGGCTGGTGTTGAATTGATTCGTCGACACTGTGCTGATTATATTTCGGAACGTGATGGTATCCCTAGTGATTGGCAGGATATCGTTTTAACAACCGGTGCTTCTGAAGCAGTTAGAGCTGTTCTAACTTTAATTAATTCCACTTCAACTGATGATAAACCTTCAGGTGTTTTAATTCCCATCCCTCAATACCCACTTTACACAGCGACACTCGCTGAATACGCAATGCACCCAATTAAATATTATCTTGGTAAGTTTACAGTTGTAATTTCCCTTGATCGTTTCGTTTCATTCATTGATCATTATCATTTAACTGTTATTACTATTATTTGTCGAGTTAAGAAAATCAAGTTCATTTTACCCCATGAACGTTTTATCATAAAGTTGATAGACTAATTTATTTAATCTCTTTCCTCAACAGACGAAGCTAACGAATGGCAATTAAATATTACTGAACTCAAACGAGCCTTGGATGCTGATAGATCATCATGTAAACCAAAAGCAATCGTAATTATTAACCCTGGTAATCCAACTGGATCAGTTTTGTCCAAAGAAAATATCAAAGAGATAATTAATTTTGCTAAACAGGAAAAATTGATGATTATTGCTGATGAGGTTTATCAACACAATGTTTATAAAGAAGGAGCTGCTTTCCATTCATTTAAAAAGGTGATGAACGAGATGGGAATTAAACTCGAACTTGCCTCCCTTATGTCCTCTTCCAAAGGTTACATGGGTGAATGTGGACTTCGAGGTGGTTACTGTGAATTTATTAACCTCAAACCCGAAGTGAAAGCACTTTTCCTTAAAATGTTATCCGCTCGTTTGTGTTCATCGATTCTCGGACAAATCTCAATGGATTGTGTAGTTTCCCCACCTAAACCTGGTGATCCATCGTATGATTTATTCATAAGTGAAAAAACTGCAACCCTTGAATCATTAAAAGCTCGTGCTAAATTAGCCGCTGATACATTTAACTCGATTCCTGGTATGAAATCGAATCCAGTTGCTGGTGCTATGTACGCATTTCCACAAATTATTTTGCCCGAAAAAGCGATCAAAGAAGCTAAAGAAAAAGGAATGGAACCCGATTTCTTTTATGCCATGAACCTTTTAGAGACAACGGGAATTTGTATCGTTCCAGGATCAGGTTTTGGTCAAATTCCTGGTACTTATCATTTTCGAACAACAATTTTGCCTCAGCTCAATGAATTGAAGAAAATGATGGATCGACTCAAAGTTTTCCATCTTCAGTTTGTTGAAAAGTACAAATAAAAACTTTGTCATTCGACTTGACTTTGGTTCTCTTCTTATATCTTAAGCTCTCTCAAATCCTGGAAAATTTTCGGCCTCACTCTCGCTCTCTTTCTCTCTTTCAAGGAATAACTAATAATAAACAACTAATAATTACTTTGTGGTGATAAATTGTATTTCTATAATTTTAATGATCGACAGACTAAATCAAAGTTTCCTAAGATTAATCATCTACTGGCAATTTAATTTGATCCATTTTTTTCCCGATTGTTTTGGATTCAATTGCCTTTCAAATTTCTGCTGTAAAATTACTCATTTGGTGTAAATTAACTATTCTAATTTTTCCTCTTCTCTTTTTTCATCCATAAAGTGTGATTATTTAGAGAAAAGTAAAGTTAATCAAATCAAATTTAGATGAACAATTTACAATCTCAATCAAGAAAACCAACAACCGCTTTAAAAGACAGAGGAAAATTTGACAAATCAACTTAATCAAATGACTGGAGATAAAAATGCTCTTCAATTTAATTCCTAACCTTTTGGTCAATATTAAGTGTCCACAATTAATTAATTTTGGTGTTAAAACATAAGAGGTAATCATTTTTAGCTTAATTAGTTTAAAAATCAAATGATTATAATTATTTTGTTGAATTTGTGTTAACGTAACAAAAATCCTAAAATCTAATGTGTTTTTATATCTTTGTTAAAATCAATTCGTGCTAGTAAATTGTTTCAATTATTAACTGATTAAAGATTCTATTGAAAATCATACCAAATGTTTAATTATTTGATCAACGAATTAACCAACAAAAAAAAAAGAAATTAAATTGTTCTTTCAATAGAATTTGAATAATGCGCCTAAAAAGTTGAGAAAAAAATTCTAACACATGATTGATCCTCTTAATCTCAACTCTTTTGTTGTTATTGTTTCTTAATTTGATTAAAGTGACGTTTTTGTTTAATTCTATTGTTCCAATTAAATTGACAATAGATTTAGTTAGAAATTAAATGGATGATCAATTGCAATTACCTCAAAATGCTGAGAAAACGTTTAATTATTTCGGTAAATATTTGGGTCTATTGGTGTTTCCACCTTTCAAATATGTTCAAACTCTGGTTGTTCTTGGTGTTGAACCTTTACCTTTGTATTTAACTAGAACACCTTTGGGTCAACCTATGTTGGCTTTTCCATCAATTATATCAATTGCTCGTCATATTTCAAATGAATGTGGATTTTTTCATCTTTACACTGGTTTCCCTTTAATTGTAATCAACCGAATAATTCAAAGTCGTGTCCGTAAATTTCTTGCACCTTACAAATTTCTCGGAGATCAGGTAAACCATTATTAAAATAAATTGTATGATTTATTATTTGCAAAGAGATTATTAATAGTTAGAGTGATTCTTTTTATTCTATTTTCCTATATATAGAAAGAACCAGCAATATTTGGAACTTATTTCATGGAGAATGTTCATTTACCTCGAGCCGGTGAAGAAAACGTCGATGATGAAAGGGAAGATGAAGATGATGATGCTGATGATGAGTTGGAAGACGATGGTGCTTATGATGAATTAATGGATGAAGGAGGTGGAGATGATGATCCAGGTGAATTTGTAATACATCTAATGGATTCAAGTGAAGCGGGTACTAGTGTTGAAACATTAAGTTCCAATATGTCAGAAATTTCTTTCACAAGAAATGTTTCACCGTCAACTGAATTAACCAATTTCCTGTTAAATCTATCAAAGCATATTATTCAATCTTCCTGTATTCGAGTCATCTCACTTTCTCTCTCATATCCTTTTGAAGTATTATACATTCGAAGGTGTGCCCAATATGTTGGCAAAGAAATAGTCTATTCGTCCATTTTATCTGGTGTTCGTGATATTTATCGACATGAAGGTATCAAAGGTTTTTATTCTGGTTTCATTCCTCGAGTTCTCGCCGAAATGATTGGTATTGCTGCCACTCAAACACTTTTCTCGGTTCTCTTTAAACCCTGTGTGACCCGGTCAAATATCCGTTTCTTTTTTAATAATACAACTCGTAACGTTGCCCGATATTTGTTATATCCCCTTAAACTAATCTCTGTGATAATGGCCGTTAAACCTTGCGACAGATTAGCCGCATCTAAATTGGAGCCAAACTTTTTTTCATGGATTTCATGCTGGCGATATTTAAATTCAACCGGACAATTAAGGCGAGGCTATCAAGTAATTTGGAGATATCAAAGGCATCTTTCCGTTGAACAATTTCTCTCTAATTATCCTGATTTACCGTCGATTTCTCATCCAAATTAACTCTCTCCATCGTTCGATTATTATTATTATTATTATTATTATTATCTAAATTTATCATAATTTAAATCATAATTTTGAATGATTTCCACCAACAGTAATACTAATTAATATGATACTACGTTTATTACTTGTATCTCAACATTGAAAATTGGATAAATTGTTGATAAAACTCAGATGTGTCCACACACTCATCATATCAACAATCAACAATCAACAATCAACAAAGAAAAATCCATCTGATTTGTTAATTCTAATCATTAACCTTTTTTTTATGTGTGTATATTATATTCATTTATTTTCTTATATAATATAATATATACATTCACTCACTACCAAAACTGACCGTTGAAGACTCAAAGTGACCCACCAGAAATACAGGTTGAATAACAATTTAATCAACTCAACAATGAAAAAGCAAAACCTAATTGTAAAACTGTTAACTAATAATTTATATCCAATTTGTTTAACTTATTATTATTAATTTGATTAACTGATATTGTCCACTTCTAAATTGTAAACCTGATCAATTTTCCGTGCCTTGATTATCTTCCTACTTGATCAACTAATTGTTACTGATATAATGTTAATAATACTTTTGATAGTATTTTAATTACAGTTAATCACTGACAGGGAACGAAAAGAAAATCAAGAAAAAAAAAGAAACGGAAACAAGTATAGAAAAAGAAATGAACAAAAACCGAGCGATGATGACGAAGAAGAGATTGGAAATTGATTGGAACGACCAAGAAGAAGAAGAAGGATAAAGTTAACAGAATTTGTGGTTACAATCAATTCGATATAAACTGGACGGATTTTTAAAGGAAAAGTGAAAGTGGTCGCAACGGGTTTTATACGAACAAGAAGAAAAAGAAGTGAACGAAAAAATGGCGAAAAAAAGTGCGAATAAGAGATTGAAGTTAAACCTTCGGGTTAAGTTAAAACCATTAACCTGAAAGAACGAATGTAAACTTTTCTTTCCTCATTTTCCACTTTTAGGCCATCAAGTTTTCTTCACCTTCGTCTCCCTCCAAATTTCCCTTTTCTCTCTCGATTTTCTCTTCTTCATCCCTCCTTCATCTCTCTCTCTCTTTCATGTAGACAGATTAAAATTAAATTCATTTTAATCACCCCAACTCTCCAACTAACTATTCGATTGCAATCAAATTTTCTTAATTTCGAGTCTTCTTTTTTTGTTTGCATTAACATTCTCGACGATTTTTACTTTTCCTGTTTTTCTATCATCATACTTTTATCATCTCTCTTTCTCTCTCTCTCCTTTTCGATTTCTCTTACCTTCGCTTCCTCTTCTTTGACCACTAACGGGGACAGTTTAACCTAATCAACGAATCAACATCATTGGACATTATCAAACAGTGACAATGCCAATTATCATTGGTCATTTTCTCATTTCTATGTAAAAGTTGATCCAAACAAACGAAACACAATAGAAGTTGAAATTTAACTTTATATGTTATGTGTCAACTCAATTAGTAAATTGTTGTTATTTAGCTTAGTTTTTTTTAAACTTTTCTTTTTTAGGTTAATTTTGTGATCAACTGTTTCAACGATACTAATAACCACTGGTGATCAATTGATCAAACAATTTATCTAATCATCTAACTAATCATGTCTCCAGCTGATTGTAAATCAATGATGTCAACCAAATCCGCTGTGATTACGGACAAATTAGTGTTAAGTTATGCCAAAGGAGAGAAATTGTTCCTTGCCCTTAACAATTTATCGATCAATATTCCCCAAGGTTGTGTTTATTGTTTAATTGGCCCCTCAGGGTGTGGTAAGACCACTTTCTTACGATGTTTAACCGGATTCCTTAAACCAGTGAAAGGGTCAATCAAATTGTTTGGTGTGACACCGGGAGATTCATCATTAGGTATTCCTGGTCCAAATTTGGGTTACATGCCTCAGGACATTTCACTTGACAGCGATTTTACCATAGGCGAATCAGCCACTTACTATGCGAGACTTTACCGTGTCCCCTTATCGGGTGTTCAAGCTCGATTAACAACCTTACTTAAAGCACTTAGCCTTCCACCCTCAACCCGATTGATTGGTAAACTATCGGGTGGACAGAAACGTCGAGTTTCCTTCATTTGTTCAATTATCCATGAGCCTAAATTGATCATTCTAGATGAACCTACAGTCGGTTGTGATCCTTTAGTACGTGAAAATATGTGGAAAATAATTTTCCAAATGACCACAACCAAATTAACCACCGTAATAATTACAACTCATTATATTGAGGAAGCTCGAAGAACCAATTTAATTGGTTTCATGAGAAAAGGTTCAATTCTTGCTCAAGAATCACCCGATGATATATTAGCTCGTTATGGTGTTTCAACTTTAGAGGAAACTTTTGCCATCCTTTGCCGCCAAGAGAGGCCACTTTCTGGTCAGGGTGTTCCTCACACCTCATCATCTTCAACCTCATCTCTTTCATCACCATCCTCATCATCAACAACACATTACCACCATCAAGATTATCATCTTCAAAATCAACAACAACACCAACAACAATCAGCACAATTTGCTATACAAAATGAAGATTCATCTTCCCCTGATCCTTCATCATCTAATTTCTTAACTAAATCAAATTTAATTATCCAATGGAGTTTATTTACTGCTGTTTTCTCTCGGGTTTTCTTACGATTCACCAAAATGCGCTGGTACATCATCGGTGCTTCCTTTATAATCGCTTACCTGGTTTACCTTTACGCAACCATTTACGGCACTACACCTAAGCACATGGCTGTGGGTCTATTCAATGAGGAAGATCCACCAAGAGCGAGTCAAATTGTCTTGGATAATATAAATTCTGAGGTAATTCAGATAATACCTTTTAACGATCTTGAATCGGCTTATGCTGCGGTTGAATCTAAATCGATTCATGGGTTTCTTCATTTTCCTCGATTCTATTCCTCATATGCTCCATTGAAATATCATTTTCGAGAACCCGTTGATCAAGAGTATCGTGATTTCATTGAAAATGCTCAAGTTCGGTATGTTGGTGACGCTTTCGAGAAAATTGTCTTCCAAATAATTGAACAATCTCTTACTCGAGGCTTACGAACCGCTGGACCATTGATGTTAGCCAATCTTTCACTTAATCCAATGATGGCAACTTGGCCAATCACCCAAGGAGATCCAATTTACGATCTTGCCGATCCCTCTGATCTAACAGGATCTCGAACATTTTTCATGCCTGTGGCCATATTTTACATCGCTCATGTTACTGGGTTTCTACTTTCAATTTACTCTCTTCTTCGTGATCGTAAGGACGCTGTTCTTGAACGTACCTATGCCGCCGGCGCTGGACCAACACACATCCTTTTAAGCCACATGATAACCAATACATTGATTCCCGTTCTAACTTCGGCACCTGTTTGGTACATTGCGCTCGAATATCTTAAGCTCCTTGTGAAGGTTCATTCGCTTTACTTTTGGTCTTCTATTTTCTCAATATAATCGCCGCTCTTCCCGTTTCATTTCTTTTCGCTGTTCTCAAGTTCGATCAAATGTTCATATTTATGTTGGCCGTTGCTTACTGTATGGTCGGACTGGCTACCTGCGGCATCCTTTGGCCTGAGGAAGGGCTACCCTACTTTATGAGGTCAATCAAATACTTTTTCCCGTATCCCGAAATAATCAAAGCCGCGATCAGGATCATGGTTAAAGGATGCGGATTAGAAGATGCAATTGTCACTAATTCACTAATCCATTCATTGGCTTTCACTGCGATTACATCAATTTTCGTGAGAATTGTTTTCTAAATTGTTGGTCTGCTAATCCACAATTAAGTTAATCCATGAAATGAATGGCAAGGAAATCGTCAAAAAACAACAACCAAAAGAAGGTTAATCGTCAATGTAATCAACAATTAACTCAAAGTGATTCGTATAATTAAGTTTACATGATTTTCTCAATGACAAATCAGCTCTTATCAAGATAATACAACCGATAAATCATTTCACAATTGATTCATTACCATCATCATCATCGTCATCATCATTGATTGTGTCAACAATTAACTATTCCTTATTAATGTAATTGTACATTTAAAGATTTTTTTTCATCATATTTTCAAATCTTCCTTTATTATTAGATTGGTAAATATCAATCAATTGTAATCATTTCGTTAATCATGTTTGTTTAAATCCTAATTCTGCAATTAATAAATGATTAGTATCACTTAATTGTTAGGAAAAAATAAATACCAATAACAATCATCATGACGATCAAGTAATAATATCAATTAGATTGTAAATAATTTTGATTAATTTGATTTGTTTTTTTCTCTTTCTCGTTGACAATTAAATTTAATTTTTTACTCAATCAAATAAACAGACAAAAAAATCAATACTTAGCAAAATAATTGAATTGATTGGTTCCTGTTTCTTTAATTGTGATAAATTGTCAACAATCAATTCAACTAATGATGAAACTTTTTCGGTACTTTGATTATATAATCAACCATAATTATATTAAAACTAAAGTGTCTATGTTATAATCAATTGATTGTAATGTTTAAATTGTTTGATTTGAAAACAAATCAAACAATTTAACACTCAAAGAGGTACAATTGGTGATCATCAATCAACAACAATGAAGGTTACAATTAGTTGATTGTGATCAATGAAAAGTTTTCAACTTTTAGTTGTTAACTAAACAAACAATCAAAATAACAATTTAATTCCTGATCAGGGTTATTGATAATAATGATCATGGTAACAATTTAACATTAATCAACATTATAATTAAACTTTTATCAACTTGTAACAATTAACTTTGCCAATTAGCAAACAAATAGTTTTTATACTAATGTAAATTGTTTCACTTAAATTACTGACTATTGATTAGCAATTATGAAAGGATTTAGATCACTTTATTAATCAACTAAATTTAATTTAATTCAATTCAACTTCCTTAAAGTTGTTATCAAATTAAAACTTCAAATTATTAATTGGAGTTGAAACTTTTTTAAACTGATTCTTGTTCACCTTGTTTTGATTAGTTAACTTTGTTTTCTAATTACTGACAATTAATAAATTCAATATACTGGTAATCATCATCAAATAATGATGAACAATTTAATTAACCACTAATCATGGTGACATTGATTTAGGAAAAAAACAACAAAAATTAAAAGGAAAAATGGAAAAGAGAAATTAAATTTTTTTTTTGATTTTCAAGTTTGATTGTTAATATTGCGAAAAATTTGCGAATCAAAATTAATCACATACAATTTAAATCAATTAAACTGAAGTTTGAAGCTTCTGGTTGCAGGGAAAAATCATCAATGTTAAAATCAATATCGTTCATTAGATTGTACAAATCAACGTCCTTAAAAATTTCCATTGATTGTGAACTGAAAAAAAGAAGAAAATTACTTTTTAATTAATCGGAAAATGAGCATAGAACTTAATTAATTTCCTTGTGAGTCGAACTTACTTCAACCGAAAATCATTTGATAAACTTCCAACCGAACTTGTATCTCCGTAAATTTCATTCATCGAAGGTGATTGAGTATTGATAACGGAATGAGGTGTATTTGGATATGAATCATTTCCACCTCCAGGGGCCCAACTGAAAGAAAATAATCAAAGAAAAAAGAATATAATAAGAGCAATTAATTAGTATTCCTAAGAGATGAGCTCAAAAATAACGCAAATCAATCAATTTCAATCGATGAATGCGCAAGAAAGTCACTGAAATTCACTTGAGCTCTTTACTTTTAGTTCAATGTTATAATTAAGTCTCGAAGATTTGATTAGAAGAATGAAAAATGATAACTAAGTGATAACTTACTCTGGAATATGAGTAACAAGAGCTTGTGGAATATAGCCTTCGGCGTCTGGTTCGACATCTTTCATGGGCTCATAGAATCGGCCGAAGACTTGATCTTTGGGAATCTCTGGGTACAAATATTTCAAGTGTTTTAAATCATGAATTCGATCAGCAAGTGATCGAATCTGTATATCCTTTTGACTGAATGGTTTTATCATGTAAACACATTTCTGATCTCCAGTTTTTGTTTCTGCTTTATAAGCGATTGTAATACATCCAAGTTCAGTTTCACTATAACGAAGCAAAAAAGTTCCATCCGGTTTATCCATCAGAACATCCTCTGTTTGTTTACGACTGATGAATCCATAGATGAGTCGATTATCGGGTCTCCAGAGATCTTTCAAATGTTCCCTGGTTAATTTAAGAATTGAATAAAACCATTCCCAAAAAGTGAAATTACGATCAGGAAGAGTTTCCTTTGCAAATTGTCCCCAACTCAGATAAATTGAATTGTATTCCTGTAGATTGAAATCTCTGAAAGCTGCAGCAAGGAAACTTAAACCTCTGGATTAAGGTTACAACCAACAGAGGCGAATAAAACCATTCCCAAAAAGTGAAATTACGATCAGGAAGAGTTTCCTTTACTTTTAGTTCAATGTTATAATTAAGTCTCGAAGATTTGATTAGAAGAATGAAAAATGATAACTAAGTGATAACTTACTCTGGAATATGAGTAACAAGAGCTTGTGGAATATAGCCTTCGGCGTCTGGTTCGACATCTTTCATGGGCTCATAGAATCGGCCGAAGACTTGATCTTTGGGTCTCTGGTACAAATATTTTCAAGTGTTTTAAATCATGAATTCGATCAGCAAGTGATCGAATCTGTATATCCTTTGACTGAATGGTTTTATCATGTAAACACATTCTGATCTCCAGTTTTTGTTTCTGCTTTATAAGCGATTGTAATACATCCAAGTTCAGTTTCACTATAACGAAGTAAAAAGTTCCATCCGGTTTATCCATCAGAACATCCTCTGTTTGTTTACGACTGATGAATCCATAGATGAGTCGATTATCGGGTCTCCAGAGATCTTTCAAATGTTCTCTGGTTAATTTAAGAATTGAATAAAACCATTCCCAAAAAGTGAAATTACGATCAGGAAGAGTTTCCTTTTAAATGTCCCAACTCAGATAAATTGAATTGTATTCCTGTAGATTGAAATCTCTGAAAGCTTTGGCAGCAAGGAAACTTAAATCCTCTGGATTAAGGTTACAACCAACAGAGGCGTTGAATTTTGTACTCAATACTTGGCCAACAGCGGCCCATTGAACCTTGTCGGGTACAACGAAAGGGATTCGAGACTAAGAGATGAGACAGAAAATAGAGTTAGAAGTGGAAAGAATAACAATCAAAATATCAACGAGAGGTCGAGGCAACTTACTGATGGTGCAAATGCGTTTTCCCATGTAACTGTAGCCCAAGCGTTAGTTTTCTGATTATCGTGAACAATTACGACTAAAGGTAAGGACAAAGTCTAAAGAAAATAATAGAAAAAAGTAAAACTATTAGGGAAACTAATTAGGGAACTATTAGTATTTTAAGACATTTGCTTACCTTAACATGGAAAACGAGTTCACCAGAAGCAAGATTGATAACTGATTGAAAAAGAATTGCAAATTTTTCATCTACTACTGATTCAGCTCCTTTTTTCTTAGTTCGAGTAATTTTCTTCAGAGTCATAGTACGAAAATTGGCAATAAATTGTTTGGTTCTATGAGTTTCTATGGGTGATTCTCGATTGAGTGCATTCAAATCACTGCATAAATTTTCCCATTGTTGCTGTAGTTTCATCAACGTATGTTCATCGTACAATCTGAAACAGTAAAAGAAACAGTAAATAAATCATTTCAAGAGTTTCAAAAGAATTGAATAGAACATGAAACTTACCTTGAACAAGAGTTTGTTGTTAATCTGTTCCTGTGGCTGAGTAAACCTCGATTTATCTCACCTAATCGAAGTTTCAGAAAATTGATATTCTCGAAATGAGCACTGATTTCTCCTCGTTGAAGTTGCAGAGCATCGGTATCATTCATCAATTTGAGAAGATGATTATGAATATCAGGAATCACGCTCATTTTGGTCACTGAAATCATCGGAGTAAATTGGTTTTACAGAGGAGAAGAATAATAGAACGAGAGAGAATCAAAGGTAAAAATATAAATTCGATATTAAAATCGTGAACAGAATCAAGTTGAAATGATATTCTAAACTCCACAAAAATTGAAAGAACACCCGATTTATATAGTGAACCAAAATCCATTTAAGAGCCAAACAGTTTATCAGATTAACGAAATCGTTCAGAGTTTTTCTCTTTTAGTCTATTCATTGGCTCACCACGAGTTGTTTAATCCTTTTCGAAGAAGACAATTTATTCCCTCAGGTGAAAAATATTTCACGGAAAAATTAAACTTTTTAATTGAGTCTGAATCGTATAGATACAATTGTAATTGATTAGGAATACAAATTGATCTGAAATTGATCAACTGTCTTATTCATTTAGTAACTTAAATAAGAATTAGATGAGAAAGTAGATCAGGTTGTCTTTTTACTCGAGGGTTGGTCAGTCTCTTTTACTTTGATTAGATTTGATAATTTTCGTTTCAATGATTGTTTTGGATTAGTTGGATTCCGTTTGAAGGATGTAGAAAATGCTGATGATAATGATGATGTCGTTGTAGTTGGTTGGGATGTTGATGCTTTCGCCGCCATTATGCTTTTGAAAGAAGCTTCATCTTCCTCTTTCTCTTTCTCCGCTTGTCTCTTGGCGGCTTCTTTTGCCTCTTCTCTTTTATCGGCTAAGATTTTCTCGAAATCAACCACCGTTTTTTTATCACTTGCGTCTTTCAATTCTTCCAATTCCTCCAATTCTTCCATCTCTCGACGGGAATTTTTAGTTCTCTCCTCGAGTAATTTGATTGGATTCAATTTTTGCTCTTCTTCCTTTTCTTTTGCTTCTTGGAGAGCTTGTTGTTCAGATAATCGAAGAGCCTGAAAATTTCGGGTGGCTCCGTGTTCCAATTCATAATCACAATTCTTGGGATCCGTTTTAAAGGTGATCTCTGCCATACAAACGGGACACTTGAAATAGAATCGAAAAATTTTCAATCCAATATACTCTTCGTTCTCGATGGTTTCCTTTCGAGCATTAAACTTTTTCGCTTTTGCGATATAATCACCGCAAGTGTTACATTGCATATTAAAGGGAACCATGATTCGAACAGTATATTGTCGGGTCTTCGGTTGACGGAGTCGAGGAACTTTACTAGGATCGAAATCAGGTGGATAATATTTCTGAAGAGAGAAAAAAATAAACAAAAAGAAAATGAATAAAAATGAAAACAGAAACGAGAAACGAGAAAAGAATCAGAATTAAAAATCTACTTACATTTAACACTTTTCTTTCCGACATTATGAATCCTGGTCCACTTAAATGAAAATATTCGGTTATTTAAAAAAGAAACAATTAAAGTAAAATTGATTAATCAATTTGTTGGAAATCAAAACAATCAAAATGTTTTGAGAAAATTTTTGTTTTGGTTTATCAGCTGTTGAAAACTCGGCGCATGCGCAAACACCTCATTCGTAAGTAAATTGCTGTTAATTGTGAACGATTGGAAATCGCTGATTATGATTAATTAACCAACTGAAGAATCTCAGTTTCGAGTAATTAATATTTACTTGATAGTTATTAGTGAGATAAGGCTGTGTAAATATTCATTCAGATGATTTAAAGATAATGAGAGAGAAAATTTTTCCAACTAAATAATCATAAAGATTTAGTGAGTTGTTGAGGGAGTTAATTGGTTTCCAGGAATTGATAAAATCTAATTTCTGAGGAAATTTATAAGAAAACTGTTTACATTATCAAGTATTATTTTCCTATCATCATCATCATCATCATTAGCTAAATTGTTTACAATCAGTATACGTTTACAATTCAACTGTGAACCACGAACCAAACAAAATGGATTGACTTTTGATCCGAGTGATTTAAATTGTTCAATTATCTTACAAATGAAAGATTCCAACGTTTAATCAAACTTAATTTAGTGATCAATGTGTATGTGTGAATGTGTGTTTTTAAATTAGTAATCAAATGACGATCATTTTAATTGGTTAATTAATTGTTTTGCTTTTTTATTTTCGACTAATTTCCGTTTTCAATGTTATGCTAATGATTGAGAGGAGGAAATGGAATCAGCGGAAGAGAATCCTGATTGTTGTGAATCTGATCCAAGCGATCGGGTACCAAGTGTTGATGGAACACCCTTAGTGGATATGAATCGTGAGGCTTGACTGTTCAGCGCTCGAAAGTTACGATTTATTTCATCAACAGCATCTTTAACATTTCGAACTGTAACCAAGTTTCGTCGAGTGTGATTTCGCCGGAGGGTTTCGTGGAGAGCGGTCACTTGTTTCTGCATATTCTCAATTTGTGCCATCAATTGGCTCATACTTTGTTCCCGACCCACCGACATTTGATTGGCACGTTCACTTAAAGCTCGAGCATCAATTTGCTACAATACGAAATAAAAACGGAGTTAAATTGTTACCTCAATTTAGATGAACAATTTAATTGATTATCTTACCGATCCATGGAGAGTTATAGTTTCTTTGCCTAAAGCAATCTAAGAAAGATCAATGAAAAGATATTGAAATTAATCAATAATTTTCCACAAGATATTTAGAGTACAACAATTTGTTAATTGTATTCATCTGATTCACTTAAATCCAATTGATAATACTTACAGTTGCACAGGTAAGTCCAATTAGAGTGATTAAGGTAATTTGTATCTTCATGTTTGGTAATGATTTAAGTTGATTTACTTGTGGATTAACAATTAAAATGATTGTTCAATTGTTTAACTACTTGTTGTAAAAGGACAAAAATGAATGTAATCAACAATCATGATTATTATTTATATAATTAGAATCATCCTCAAGTTAATCAACGTAATCAATGAGATCTTGTTTCAACAAATGAAACGATCAATCATCTATTCAGGTAAATCGAGCCTACTAATTTAAATTAACCAACTAATTAACCTTTAATTTGATCAAGCTGATTCATTTTCAGCCTACTCTTCCAATCACAATTAACTGTCAACGATGATCTATTTTAATTATCTAATCGGCCCTGGCAATCAAAGTGCTAATGGACAATGCTTAAAATTGATTTACTTACAATTAATTAAATTGGTTAATTGTTACACATCCAAACCAGGTAATTTGATTGCTGGTCAAAATAATTGTATTACAATTTGATTTATGGCTCTGGTAACAATATAATACCAATGATTTCCTGATTGATTTGGACGAAATCATTGTAACAATTAACCGAGTACCGATCAGTTTTGTTTTAAAGTTCACAGTTCATATGAAGAAAGTGATTTTATTTTAATTGTTAACAATCAAAGAAAACAAGAAATCAATACTAAGTTGTAATTGAATGTAAACTTTAATTTTCCATTAACAATCAAACTTTTTAAATTGATCAATTGGATTAACCAAAGCGAAAGGTAAGATTTTTTTCATCTCCAATTAATGGATTACAATTGATTGTTGATTAAGTCCAAAGAAAAACAAACAAGAATTTAGTTAATCTCAAAGATTATGATTCAGATCAAAGAGAGAAATTGACAGAATAAAAATAAAAGTTAATCAGGGAGGAAAAATGAAGATAATTAAGGAGAAAGTGATTGTGATGATTAACAAATTGATCAATAAAATAAGAGATGATTTGACTTCGGTGGGTGAATCATAATTCACAGAGATAATTGCGGAGGGAATTGAAAAATAGATTGTACAGTTTTGAGAGGAAAGAGGAACAGTTAAGTTAATCTAGTTTAGATTGAGAAAAATAGTCAAATGATTAGTTTGATATTTTAAACTATAAAAATTAAGATATCATTTTGGATAAACTAATCATAATTGTGAGGGGAAGAAAAATAGTCGATTAAGATTGTAATGTTGCTCATGCTCTGGGTTGATTAAGAAACTAAATTAATCCCGGTAAAATAGATGAGTGATTGGGTTTTGTGTTTGTGTGTGTGCATATTGATTAAAAGGTGAGAGCCTTGATTGTAAATCATAATTGATTTTCCATCGATAATAATTTAATGTTAACCATCAAGACGATTAAATCCATTGGCGTTAGCGAGGAGATCATTTAATCCAACTCCGGATAAATCGGCTGGAATATCATCCATATCGTAATCAACGTCGTTCATTATATTGTAAAGATCAACATCTTGGAAAGATGACATGGACTCGACACTGTGGAAAGAGATGAGGGAGAGAAAGAGGGAGACAGAAATCGAGAAAGAGAGAGAGAGAGAGAGAATAAAGAAGGAGAAGATGGGAGAGAAATGATTCGGGAGAGAGAGGAAATGAGAAGATGATTGAGAGAGAGAGAAAGTTGTTTGTTTTTATTGATATAAAAGTATCATTTTTAAATAATTGGGTGAACATGATACAATCATGTTGATGAGCAATTAAAAGCAGTAATTTAAAAGATATCGATGAATATTAAGGAATTAGGATAGTAAATTGTATATTTGAGGCGTTACAGTAAAAAGGCACTTCTGTTTCAAAGATATTGATGATCTATCATATGGTAATATTACTAATTGCTAAAATTTTAGTTAAATTAACTGTGTGATTACGAGAATGATGAATTCAAATACGATTTTACAATCTTAATGATAATGAGACGAGAAAAATAAATTCGTACGACGGGAAAATTGTATCATATGTAGATGATAAAACTGATAGGGTATCAGCAAAATGTATTATTAATCATGGGATAGCTTGATAGTATATTGATATGTGATCTAATAATGATTAAATTGTTGACAAATGATGAAGGTTTTCTGTTGTTGATTACGTTGTATTTTTGGGTTCTCGTTTGATTTTAAAATGATAATTGTGGCACTAGAAGTAGTTATTAAAATCACAGACCATGTGTGATTGTGGGTGAGGTTGCATGTAATTTGCAGGCGGGAGACTGTGGTTGGTGTGGAGGAGGTGGAAAAAGTGAATGAGAGAGAAAGAAAAGTTCATAAAAATAAGGAGAGGAAAAAAGAGAAAAGAAAGAGGAAAAAGGATGGAATTTGAATAACTAGAGTAAATATATGAAATAATAACAAAAGCAACAAAAACATTCAAGCATAAAAGAGAGAGAGAGAGAGAGAGAGTAAAATTTGAAAGATGAGGATGCTACAAGATGAAAACTGAATAAGTTTCCTTGTGGATTGAACTTACTTCAACCGAACATCACTTGATAAACTTCCAACTGAACTTGGTGGATCTCCGTAAATCTCATTCATCGAAGGTGATTGAGTATTGATAACGGAATGAGGTGTATTTGGATATGAATCGATTCCACCTCCAGGGGCCCATCTGAGAGAAAATAATCAAAGAAAAAAGAATACAATTAGAGCAATTAATTAGTATTCCTGAGAGTTGAACTCAAAAACAATGGAAAGATTGAGCTCTTGAGAAAAAAAACAATGGAAAATAATCAATTTCAATCAATAAATGTGAAAAAATCATAATCAATTCTGTTGAACAGTTTTTCTTTCGTTGAATATTACCATGGAGTCTCAATATAATTTTATGAGAAGTATTAACAGAATAGTTAAGGTAATTAAGGGGATTGATTTTCGCAGTTTCATATCTTATCGAGTGATTGTTGTTTCTTTATATCTATTCATAGACTACACAAGATTATTGAGTCTATTAATCGTATTATATTGTTGATTTTTTTCCTTTGTTTTTTATTTAGTCTAATAATCTGGTTCGCTTCTTACTCTGGTATGTGGGTCACAAGAACTGGTGGAATATAGCCTTCGGCGTCTGGTTCGACATCTTTCATGGGCTCATAGAATCGGCCGAAGACTTGATCTTTGGGAATCTCTGGGTACAAATATTTCAAGTGTTTTAAATCATGAATTCGATCGGCAAGTGATCGAATCTGTATATCCTTTTGACTGAATGGTTTTATCATGTAAACACATTTCTGATCTCCAGTTTTTGTTTCTGCTTTATAAGCGATTGTAATACACCCAAGTTCAGTTTCACTATAACGAAGTAGAAAAGTTCCATCCGGTTTATCCATCAGAACATCCTCTGTTTGTTTACGACTGATGAATCCATAGATGAGTCGATTATCGGGTCTCCAGAGATCTTTCAAATGTTCTCTGGTTAATTTAAGAATTGAATAAAACCATTCCCAAAAAGTGAAATTACGATCGGGAAGAGTTTCCTTTGCAAATTGTCCCCAACTCAGATAAATTGAGTTGTATTCCTGTAGATTGAAATCTCTGAAAGCTTTGGCAGCAAGGAAACTTAAATCCTCTGGATTAAGGTTACAACCAACAGAGGCGTTGAATTTTGTACTCAATACTTGGCCAACAGCGGCCCATTGAACCTTGTCGGGTACAACGAAAGGGATTCGAGACTAAGAGATGAGACAGAAAATAGAGTTAGAAGTGGAAAGAATAAAAAAGAGGAATAACAATTGAAAAATCAACTCATCAGTAACTTACGGCTGATGCAAACGCGTTGTCCCATGTGACTGTAGCCCAAGCATGATTTTCTTGATTACCATGAACGATAACAACTAATGGTAAGGATAAAGTCTAAAAAACATAATTACATGGAAAAGTGATAACAGAAAGGGAACAATAAAAGAAAATGTTACAGATTAATGAAGAAACACACAAGGTAAAGTAAATAAAGCAAGAATATGAAAAAATGGAACATTGGTTTACCTTGACGTAGAAAACGAGTTCACCAGCAGCGATTTTGAAAACGGCTTGGAAAAGAATTGCAAATTTTTCATCCATCACTGATTCAGTTCCCTTTTTCTCGGTTCGAGTGATTTTCTTCAGAGTCATAGTACGAAAATTGGCAATGAATTGTTTGGTGGTTGGATGACATTCTATGGGTGATTCTCTATTGAGAATGGCACCTGAAGATGCATCGGTCAGAGTTATATTACCATCGTGAGATGATTGCATTAAGTTACGAGCCTGAGATTCATTTAAAATTGAGGCACGAACGATCGGTTGATGCTGAGAAGAAATCAATAAACCACCGACAAGTGATCTTACTGTTGACGGGAAACGAGTTTGTGTCTTGAGTACTTGAGGTGGTTGTTTCTCGACAATAAATGTCCGTTTAACCAATTGTCCAATCATATTGTCCACTTCATGTCTCATCTCCAAATATTCAGCATCTCTTGAGGTTCCATATTTGGACATTAAATCTAATTGAGTTCTAAGCTTCAACCAAATCCCTCCTAACGTTTCGCAAAATGTTTGAATCAAGTCTAAATTATTATCGAAATGAGCACCATTACCAGCTGATTGTTGAGTAAGACGAAATGATTCAACCCAATCATCTAAAACACTTGTTTGGATAATCTTTGTCTGAGAAATTAACGAAGTACATTTTCTATTCCAATCTTCACTCTCCTCAGTGAATCTCATGTTGAGTGCATTCAAATCACTGAATAAATTTTCCCTTTGTCTCTGTAGTTTCATCAGCGTATTTTCATCGTTCATCCTAATTGAAAGGGAAAAAAAGTAAATAAACGAATAACAAACAAAACAAATGAATGATTTCAAGAGATTTCAAAAGAATTGAATAGAAAAATAAACTAACCTTGAACAAGTGTTTGTTGTTAATCTGTTCCTGTGGCTGAGTAAACCTCGATTTATCTCACCTAATCGAAGTTTCAGAAAATTGATATTCTCGAAATGAGCACTGATTTCTCCTCGTTGGAGTTGCAGAGCATCGGTATCATTCATCAATTTGAGAAGATGATTATGAATATCAGGAATCACGTCCATTTTGGTCACTGAAATCATCTACTTAGATGATTGTTAAAAAGGGTTTTCGATTATTTCCAAGAGAGAGAAAAAGAAAAGGAAAAATAGGTAACAACAGTAGAAATAACAGTAAAACAAGTGGTTTTGGTGTTGAGAGAAGCGATTGATTCATCCAAAGAGCGAGCAGATAAAATAATAGATACAATTGAGAAAAGAAAAAAAAAAGATAACTGTAAACAATATCGATGATTGTAAGAGTTAATCAAAGAAAAACAGGTTCTTCTCTGTGTGGAAAGAAAAAAAAAGGAACGAAAAAGAAAAAAGAGAATAACGAAGATGATGTTGTTGTTGTTGATGGTGAAGAGAAGGCGAAGAAGATGAAGAAAAAAGAGAGGGAGAAAAAAAGAAAGAGAAGATGATAAATGATGATTGGAAGAAGAGGTGAAGATAAAGAGATACAGAGATTGACCAGCGAAAGAAGAAGATACAACCGATTCAACGCCCCGATTCTTAGAAATGGGATTCGAGAGAAAAGATATTCGAGTATCGAGTCTCGTATCTTTTCCTTCGTCCGGTTAATCGAAAGGCGCGAAAATCAAAGGGAAAAGAAAAATTTTTCTTCTTTCTCATGTTAATTTCTTATTATAACCACTTGTTAGATGATAGATTTGCGATTTCTGTGCAAGTTTTTTGTTTTCTTTTATGATTTCGACTATTGAGAGATTCAATTGATTGGAATTGAGAAAAAGAAAATCAATTAAATGCCTCGGAAGAGATAAAAAGTTACGAAAAAGTTTTTTTACCGATCCATCGAGATGTCATCGAGTTTACAATCAACTGTGATTTATGGTTTTCTTTTTACACTCCAATAGTAAATTAGCTTTGGTTCTTTGATGGTAGAACTTTTTTTTAGAAGAAAAAACAACTTTAAATCTTAACCGAAACTAATCATTTCTTTTCACTTTGTTTAACTTACTCTCTTTTCGGTAAAAGGTTTTAAATTGTCCATTGTTAATTTTAATAGTTTCCAAGTGATTAGCTAAATCATCTTGTTTTTACCGTTGTAAAGGTTGTATTTTTTTTCTGCGATTGTGATTAAAGAAAATTAGATTTACTTGGTGGAGAAAAAAAGATAAACTGTTAGAACAAAAATTTCGATAACAACAGAAATTACTATTTTTCGAATTTGTTTTTTATTCATTTTTGACCATTGATTTAAGTTCTTAATTGTCGATTTTGTTACTCTTATTAATGATTTACAGTTTGAATGGTTAACAATTAGTCAACAACAACAGTTACCATGTGGTAACATTTAAAAAAATTGGAATCGGGTAAAAGTTTAGTTACTTTAATTGCTAACAACAAATTAGTTATTATTATCAACAGTTAACTGGAATTGTAGTTTTCTTAAATTAGTTACGGTCAAAAGGAAAACTTTAAAAGTTAATCAATAATTTAGTTACCATTAATTTTAACTGATTTTTAATCATGTTTTCCTCATGGTAAACTGTTAGAAATTAAATCAGTAACAAATAAATCGTCTAAAGATGATTAACCTCATCAATTCATTTTCAAACTCTAACCACAGGTCAATTTAAGCTCAGTTATATTCCCAATCAACAATTAAGATAAAATTGTGTTCGATCAACGTTAATCCACTTGATAACTTTAGTAACGATTGCAATAGTAAAACTTTGATTAAAACTATGGAAATTGAATCTACTTATTAAATGTAATTATCTGCAATAAAAAAATTGATATTAATATCTTCAGCTAATCATCAATTGTTCAATTTAATCATCCTATTGTTTCAATCTTAAATTTAATGACGACAATAACCATTGAAACGGGTACAATTTTGGTTCATGCTTATGCTAATTAACTTCAGTAGATAATTACCCATTGTGATCATACAATCAATCTGATTCACAGGAATCAACGATTGTTTGATTATTAATATCTGTTGATTACTATTAGTTTTCCTCGAGCAATAACAGTCAATCATTAATGATTATCATTCCTGAAACTAGTACAGATTTAGTATATATCTAGGATGATAATTGATAATAAACTAATCCAGTTATAAAAAGGATCATTCTATAGACCATTTAAATCATAATTAACGTACAATTGTGTATCATCAATATTATAAAATATTATAAAATCAAAATGAATTTCTCATTTGTCTTAATTGTTGTTTTCTGTGTTTCCACCATTGGAGCCGCTCCATTTGGTAACCGTAAGTAATCATTAATGACTAAACCATCTCTGTGATTAACTAATTGTGTTATTATTGAACTTTTCTTTCAATGACTTTCACCTTATGCATTTAATCAGCTGATGATATAAAACAGTTCATTAAAGAGTTTGTCAACCATTTTGAAACTGCGACTCAAGGTAAGTTTATATCGATGTTCAAAGTTATGTTAAGTGTTTATTGACAATTTAAATTTCACAATTTAGGCTGGAAAATTGATAGTCCACTGGAATACAATGTAGTCCAACTATTCGAGCAACATTTCCACGAGGGCGATATTCCTGGTAACTAATCAATAATAAAGATTAATTAATCTTTGGTGAACTAAAAATGCAAATATTATTCTGATATCTTTAGAATTTAATCCTGAGCTAAGTGACAGAGAAAATGTTGTTGAATTAATCATCATGTTCGGTAGATATCAAGATCTCCCATATCCAGGTAAATACTGATTCATTCAAAAATTTTCTTCTCGTTTCTACCTGTTCTTATTTTATCAATTCTTCTTTAGGAATAACTCAAAACTCAACTCTATTCGAACTTATTGAAGTTATACCCAAATACATTCCTATTATCTGGTTGCCCGACGAACAAGCAGCTCTAGTTTCTCAAATTATTATTGACGCAATCATGAAACTAAACATTCGAGGTAATTATCCAGATTAGCATCGATTAAACACAAAGATACAAACGAAAATTTATTCCATTTCTTGTAATAGGTTTGGATATTTCTAAATCTCTTCGAGTTAACGTCGAAACAATTGTCGCTAATTCTATCGATGAAGAATCAGAGAAGGCAAACTTAGGAGTTTTGGAAAGTTCACCCGAAGAAGTGGTTGTCAATGCTGCTATAAATGCTCTCAAGTTAATTCAGTTCGAAGGTAAGAAAAAATATTAAGAAATAATATCTATGATATTAAAATCGCTATTGAGTGTAAAAAATAATTCTACTGTTTCGTTTTACTTTCTAGGATATTCATCGGAATCAACTCTACACGATAACGTCAATACTTTTCTTGATAAATTTTATTAAACTGGACGGATTAATCGATACTTAAATAATGAATAATATAATATAATAATAATAATAATAATATAATAAACATTAATTTAATTTGCATAATCAAGTTGTCATTTTTTGAAATTATTGTAACCTTTGAAAGTGACAATGAATCTGAATTGGAGTATCTGATGGTGACTTAGTGAGACTCCTAAAGCTTATTGGGACTTTTACACTTTCCATCATGATGAGGTTTAGATAAAAGTGTTGGTGGAAGAGGATGATGATGATTCTCCGAGTGATCAGTTGAGCGTCTTGTGATTAACGGTGTTGTTGATGAGCAGGTATAAGTTGACCATTGAGCACGAAGATCATTTCAGCGGAATATCGCCTCCGTCCTGGGATGGTTTACATGCTGAAAAAATTGACCCGAAAGTTAAGTGGTTTGAAGAACTTAAGAAAAAGCCTCTCAGTGGCTGTGTTCATTTATAGATTTAGTTGAATGAAAAATGTAATTATTAATAACTTCAGCTGATCATCAAGTGTTCTATTTACTTATCATATTGTTGTAATCTAAAAACCTGCAATAATCAGAGAAATGAGCAAAGTTTTGTTTCAGTTAATTAACTTCGATTGATAATTTTTCCTGGTCTATTGTTGTAACCGTCCTTATTTCCAGTGATCAAAGGTTGTTTGATTGTATCGTAATATAATATTATATTGTTGATCTTTTGCCTTTGTTTCTTATTTAAACTAATATTCTGGTTCACTTCTTAATCGAGTATGTGGGTCACAAGAACTGGTGGAATATAGCCTTCGACGTCTTTCATGGGCTCATAGAACAGACCGAAGACTTGATCTTTGGGAATCTCTGGGTACAAATATTTTAAGTGTTTTAGATCATGAATTCGATCGGCAAGTGATCGAATCTGTATATCCTTTTGACTGAATGGTTTTATCATGTAAACACATTTCTGATCTCCAGTTTTTGTTTCTGCTTTATAAGCGATTGTAATACATCAAGTTCAGTTTCACTATAACGAAGCAAAGTTCCATCCGGTTTATCCATCAGAACATCCTCTGTTTGTTTACGACTGATGAATCCATAGATGAGTCGATTATCGGGTCTCAGAGATCTTTCAAATGTTCCTAGTTAATTTAAATTGAATAAAACCATTCCCAAAAGTGAAATTACGATCAGGAAGAGTTTCCTGCAATTGTCAACTCAGATAAATTGAGTTGTATTCCTGTAGATTGAAATCTCTGAAAGCTTTGGCAGCAAGGAAACTTAAATCCTCTGGATTAAGGTTACAACCAACAGAGGCGTTGAATTTTGTACTCAATACTTGCCAACAGCGGCCCATTGAACCTTGTCAGGTACAACGAAAGGATTCGAGACTAAGAGATGAGACAGAAAATAGAGTTAGAAGTGGAAAGAATAAAAAGAGAATAACAATTGAAAATCAACTCATCAGTAACTTACGGCTGATGCAAACGCGTTGTCCCATGTGACTGTAGCCCAAGCATGATTTTCTTGATTACCATGAACGATAACAACTAATGGTAAGGATAAAGTCTAAAAAACATAATTACATGGAAAAGTGATAACAGAAAGGGAACAATAAAAGAAAATGTTACAGATTAATGAAGAAACACACAAGGTAAAGTAAATAAAGCAAGAATATGAAAAAATGGAACATTGGTTTACCTTGACGTAGAAAACGAGTTCACCAGCAGCGATTTTGAAAACGGCTTGGAAAAGAATTGCAAATTTTTCATCTACTACTGATTCAGCTCCTTTTTTCTTAGTTCGAGTAATTTTCTTCAGAGTCATAGTACGAAAATTGGCAATAAATTGTTTGGTTCTATGAGTTTCTATGGGTGATTCTCGATTGACAATAGCCCCTGACGAAGCATCGATATTACCATCGTGAGATGATTGCATTAAGCTACGAGCCTGAGATTCATTTAAAATTGAGGCACGAACGATCGGTTGATTGGCAGAGAGAACCAACAGTCCTCCAACAAGTGACCTTACTGTCGATGTGAAAGCAGTTTGAGTCTTGAGTACTTGAGGTGGTTGTTTCTCAACAATAAATGTCCGTTTAACCAACTGTCCAATCATATTGTCCACTTCATGTCTCATCTCCAAATATTCAGCATCTCTTGAGGTTCCATATTTGGACATTAAATCTAATTGAGTTCTAAGCTTCAACCAAATCCCTCCTAACGTTTCGCAAAATGTTTGAATCAAGTCTAAATTATTATCGAAATGAGCACCATTACCAGCTGATTGTTGAGTAAGACGAAATGATTCAACCCAATCATCTAAAACACTTGTTTGGATAATCTTTGTCTGAGAAATTAACGAAGTACATTTTCTATTCCAATCTTCACTCTCCTCAGTGAATCTCATGTTGAGTGCATTCAAATCACTGAATAAATTTTCCCTTTGTCTCTGTAGTTTAATCAGCGTATTTCATCGTTGACAACTGACAATGTTGTCAATTTTCTTGTTTGTGGTGTTAGAGCCTCTTCCGAAGAGGATGAAAATGATTCTCCAGATTATTTACTAATAAATATTGCGAAGTTACAATCGAAATAATTAAGCATTGTATATGGTTTTTGAATAAGAAATTATGATAAAAAAATTCCTAAACTTCTTTTGATGTAAGTTCAGTATAACTTTTCTACGAAATTATCCTAAATAAAATTACATGTATGATATAAATAATAGTTTTCGATCTACAATTCGTAATGATTTCAAAAGGTTCAAAAATGCCACTTCATAAATGTGATATTAGAAATAAAGAAAATGTTTATTTAAATTAATTAATAAATTATCAGATTTCGTTAGAGCTTATACCATTACAAAGCTTAAGAATTGATCTTTCGTTTGTAAAATCTTATAATTAATTCTTATTTATTAATTTCCAAGAAATTACTTAGTGAATTGGAGGTAACTAAAAAACGACATTACTTATGTGGATACCTAATATTTATGAAATTGGTTCAATTTCCTTAGGAAATTGAGTATCTGATTAAAATCGGGGCATCATTTACTTTTAATTGCGCTATCATTTTATTTAATCATATTTGTTTCTTGTAATTGTGCTCAAAATCGAGTCAAATTGAAAAATGTTGTGTACAAAGTATAACAGGTCACTTGATATGCAATCATTACCGTCACCACCATCCTCATGCAGATAACATGGGATCAACTGAATTAGCTCATTATCCAAGTGAGTGAGATACAAATTATCTGAAAGTAACATAAAAGCTTCGAATCGAGGAGGTTCATGTAATATTTATGGTGGAAAGTGTTAACATCGCAATAAACTTCCAAGTGTCACTAAGTCACCGTTAATGTCACAAGTATTTCACATTCACAAAAGTTAAAATAGTTTGAAAAAACGACAACTTGATTATGCAAATTAAATTAAAGTTTTATTCGTTGTTTATAATCATTCCAGTTTAGAAAATATTATCAAGAAAAGTATTGACATCATCATGTAGAGTTAATTCCGATGAATAACCTAGAAAGAACAAAGAAACAGTTAAATTATTTTCTTTACTCACTAGAGATTATTAATGAGACCTTACCTTCGAATTGTATCAACTTAAGGGCATTTTTAGCAGTATTGACAATCACTTCTTCGGGTGAAGTTTCTGAAATTCCCATGTTCGTCTTCTCTGATTCTTTATCGACAGAATTAGCAACGACTGTTTCAACGTTAACTCGAAGAGATTTAAAAACATCCAAATCTGTTATCAGAAATGGAATAATTTCTCTTTAGTATCTTTATAAAATTCATCATGAAGGATTCGATAACTACCTCGAATGTTGAGTTTAATGATTACATCGATAGCTGCTTCAGCAACTGCCGCTGCTTGATCGTCGGTTAACTCGATAATAGGAAAGTATTTGGGTATATCTTCAATAACTTCGAAGAGAGTTGAGTTTTGAGTTATTCCTAAAGGTGAATTGGTTAAACAAGAAAAGGTAAAAACTAGAGAAAAATGTATGTGGATGAATCAGTATTTACCTGGATATGGCAAGTCGGCATCTCTACCCAACCTGATCATTAAATCAACAACATTTTCCCGATTACTTAGCTCAGGATTCCAGTCTAAAGACCACAAAATAATATTTGAAACGTTTCGCTTCAAGTAAATCAATGAGGTGATCTCAATTAATCATCTGCTAATTACCAGGGGTATAACCATCGTGGAATCGTTGCTCAATTTGTTGGACTACATTGTATTCGAGTGAACTATCAACTTTCCAGCCTAAATTGTGAAATTTAAATTGACAATAAACACTTAATGAAAATTCTAACATTGATATTAATATAATCGTACCTTGAATCTCTGTTTCAACCATTGAAACGAGCCCTTTGATGAAATTTTTTATTTCATCAGCTGATTAAAGTTTCGAGGAAAAGTCATAGAATCCATTGAAAGAAAATGTTAATAAAAATACAATTAGTTAATCGTCGAGATAAGTTTATTATTGATTATAACTTACGTCCAAATGGAGAAGCTCCAATGGTGGAAACACAGAAAACGACAATTAAGACAAATGAGAAATTCATTTTGATTAGTAATCGAAAAATTCAGATTAACTCTTAACAATTAAACATTAATTATGACTTAAATGGCCATCAGAATGTTCCTTTATATATTTTGATTATTTTATCATCAATTATCACCCCAACATATGAACCAAAGTCATACAATTTCAATGGTGATAATTATTAATGATTTACTGATATTCTGATTGATAAACTTAATCTTAATCAATCAATAGCTTTTATCATGCAAGGAAAAACTACTTGCAATCAAAAGAAACTAACAATAATTGAACAATCGTTGATTCCAAGAAATAGAGATTATTGTAAGATAATCAATGGAAAATCATTTATTGAAGTTAATTAACATAAATATGAACCAAAATTGTACCTATTTCAATGATTAAAATTGATTAATATTATCAACATTACATTAATAGTCTTTGTTTTATTAGGAACTTTTTTCTTACGATAGAAACCCGAGTTACACCAGATTCATCTGGTTGAGTTTAGTTTAGCTAAAAGTTTGATCGTTAACGAACCATATACCACGAACAAGAGGTCGTCGTTAATCTGTTCTTAATCCCAATTATCCAAATAGAGAGATTAGCTTAAAGTGATCTTAATGATCTCGATCCTTTGCACTACTATGGATAGAAATTGAATTTAGATTTCGAATTGTCTGAATTTTTTTATTGGATCGATAATTGATATAAATTATTTACTAATTACATTGTTTTCCTGTTGATCAAATATTCACAATAATTGATTGATTGGTTGATTGTTAATTTAATTACAATTTTGATTCAATTTTTTTGTTAACAGTTTCTTTATGGTTTCAACATTAAGGATTTATTAAGTTATTGATTATTGATTTAGTGAAGCAATTATCATATTATTAATTGATCATGTTTGATGGGTTGAGCATTTTTGTTAAATTGAACAATTAATAATCAGATTAGTTTTAATTTACAATTGAAAACAATAACAATTAACTCTTGATCAACCCTTTGATTGGTTATCTTGATTTCTCATCATTGTTTTTATATTGTTTGTCACTCTATTCCGGAAGACTTTTAATTATCATAATTACTAGTTAATTAATTTAGTTATTATTATCAACTAAGGCTTTTTACTTATATATAAATCATTCAATTGATCATGTTAAATTAATCTAATAACAATTAGTAAATTGTATTTAGTTTTGTTTTCATCTCAATTTGTAATATATTTTGAAAGATTTTCTTGTTTTGTTTGATTAACAATTTATTCAATTTGATTACCTTAATTGTTGTTATTGTTTTTATTGCATTGATTAAGGCATGAAAGTTAATTGGTTAGTCTAATTTAAAGTAATAAAAAGCTTATCATTTTGTTTGTTTGTTTCAATTTGATTGTTTTGATTGATAATAATCATTATTATCATTACCTTTCCCTGGTTCAATTGTAACAATTAAATAAATTTACAGTTGATGGACATTAATTGATTAACTTTGATCATCATTGATTCATTCAAAACAATTGGAAAACAATTTTTGTATCAAGTTTGATTAGATTGAACAATTAATACCAATTAATGTCAACAGTTGACTAGTTTGATCATTGTAATGATTTAAAATTGGACAAAAATAGTTGATCAAATCAACTAATAGTTATAAGTAAACATTTGAAAATTAGAAGCTAATTTGAGCAATTAAACAATCATAACGGTTGCTAAGAATCAACAACCTGTTTGAACAATTAGTAAATTGTTTCGATTTGTAAATAAGAAACTGGATAAAAGGCCAAGAGCATCAGCAAAGAAAAATGTTGCCTATTAAAAGTATTAATAACTACAAGGAATTTCATCAAAAGTTTCCAACAAGTTATCATATTTTACTCAGTCAAGGTCATTTGATGGGCAGAATCAACTTGAATTGTCATCGAATGACCTTGAAGCTTTATCCTAACAGAATGACCTTGCTAATAAAATAAGACAATTGAGTATCACACAAACTCCCATAGCTCGAGTCTGGGTCTGGTTGAATGTTCAGAGACAAAAACTTGTACGAAACTTGGTGAAATGCTCTGTGTTGCGATAAACTTGATATCGACTTAATTTGAATTGATTGTTAACAATTAAAGATCCAAAATGGAAAACAAAAAAGTAACAACAGTGGGAATGATTAGGAAATAGGAACAATCCAGGATAAATACTAATATCTAACATGGATAAGGCTTCTCAAAGGTTATCATGTATGAATAATGAGACTCAATCAGAAATCAAGAATCATTTGGTTTTAAAACCCAATCATCATAATCAGCACAATAATCAGTTAATTGTTGCTGATAAAAAAAGATTCATGTCACTAGGGGATAGATATGTGTTTGCAATCGTGATTTAAGGTTGATGGTGATAAGTTATTGTAGATTTATAGTTATTATAACAGTTATTGCTGGCAATTGATAGCGAAAGGACGGAGATGAACAAAAAAGAGATGAAGATGAAAATTTCTGATTATGATGATGACCAATGATTAAAAGGAAAAGGGAAGATGAAGATGAAGATGAGGTTGAAAGGAAAAGGAAATGATGTAAATGTAAAGAAAGAACGAGAAAGAAACCTTAAGAAGAGGAAATTAGATGAGCAGGCGTCTCTTTCTCTCAATATTATCATCCTTCTCATCGTTTTCTCTCCCTTTCTCTTCCTATTATTTTCTATCATAACTGATGATCCTTTCTATTTGTGTCTCTTTTCCTCGTCTCGAATTGAAACCCTTTTGAGAGAGAAAGAGAGAAGAGAGAGAGAGAGAGAGAGAGAGAGAGAGATCATTGTCATCAAATGCTGAAGAAGAGGAATTATCTTCAAAGTATATTCATTTCACGAAGAAAATCAACCCAAATACCTTGAAACCAGAAGAAAAGGAAAAGGCTATTTCAGGGAAGGTGAATTTATATTAAGATGGAGATAAAGAACAAAAGAGAAGATAAAAAATCAGAATTTCTATGAACAGTTTTTTCTTGGAATATTCTCTCATCTATTTTGTTCGATTCCATTCAAAAAAATTCGAGATAACCCTTAATATCCTCTTATTCTTGCTCATGAATCTGCACCATGAAAAAAAAGACTCAATATAATAATAACTCTGATAAATGAATTAAATTGATAACAATTGGACAGAAATGATGAAAACTTAATAATCGAGAAAAAATCTTGTCAAAGTTTCTTAATTACAACTATTTAACTTAACTAAATGTTAACCTGATTGGTGATTACAATGATACAAGTGACAATTTACTGACATGATTGTTATCTAATTGTTGCATCCTAATCAACTTGATAAAAACCGGGTGATTAAAATAAAACTTCAACACCAAGTTTTCAAATTGATTTCAACTGTTTTCCAAAGCAAAACTGATCAATCAAAAAATGTGAAAACAAAATTTTGAGTAAAATTTTTGATCGTAAATTGATCTTGATTATCATCTCAGGTAGTTGAATTTGTCTTTGTCCGTGTTAAATGTTGTCCATTGTGTTGACCGTTAATCACAATTAGTTCAGGCTTTATTTGGGTGTGGCTCAGTGGTTATCTTTAACTTCCAAGTGAAATAAGATCTGGATTAGGTTCATTACTGATATGAAGATAGATTATCCAATACATTAGATTGAAACAGATAAAACAAACAGGAAATATAACCCTAGAGTATTTGTCAATGTCACTTGGTGAGACACCTAAAAGTTTGTTGGGATTTTTACACTTTCCACCATGATGAGGTTTAGATAAGGGTGTTGGTGGTGGAAGCGGATGATGATGACTCTCCGAGTGATCAGTTGAGCGTCTTGTGATTAACGGTGTTGTCGATGTGGCTCCATTTCCACCACCACCGCCACTAGAGTTTTGGTTTGGACATGAATCGTTAGTTATACATGAACCTGCTCGATTTGAGGCTTGTTTCATGCTCTCAGATAATTTGTATCTCACTTCACTTGGATAATGAGCTAATCCACTTGATCCCATGTTATCTGGATGAGGATGATGATGATGATTGCATATCATGTGACCTGTGTTACAGGTACGTAAAGTACAGGTAGGACGATGATTAGTTGGTGGTGATGAGCAAGCATAAGTTGACGATCGATCATAATGGCCACTTCGGTGGAGTGTCCCACCCGTTCCAGGATGGTAAAGATGCTAAACAATTAGTAAAGAAAAGAATTGAAGAAAAATTCATAAGAATTAAGGTAAACAATTTAAAATCTATTGATTGTTACATAACAAAATAATTCTGTTATATTAATAATTGAACATTGTTGTCAATCAAAATTGATAATATTGATTCTTGAAGGTTAGTTTATCAAAAAAAGGAAAGGTAAATTGTCAGGTTGATGAAATTTTCAATCTCAGTTCAACTGTTCAAAGCTAAATTGTTACAATTACGTTGATTACAATGTTGATTATCATCATGATTAACTTCAAGTTTATTTTATTAACAGAATGTGTTACTTCAATCTGACTGAATTTTGAGATAAATTTGTTCACATGAATGAACTTTTAAAAACATGAAAATGTCATGGTTATCATGTCATCATCATGATAATCGCCATGATGGTGATGATAAGAGTCTTTAATTAACTTTGGACTTGAATAATTAACCATAGAAAGTTTCAAGATTCAAATAGATGATTAAGTTTGTTAATTGTTACAAAGTGAGAGAGAAAATTTTTACTTCAAAATGATTAATTAATACAATTAAATGATTAAAATTGATCATATTAATATTTTCAATCATTTTGATCAAATATTAACACTTTTCTTTTAATCATTTGTGATTCTTGTTGCAAAGTACTGACTGATTGTAACAATTAACATTATTACAATTAGATCAATTTCCAGGTATTGATTGTTATTTTATCTGGTTGATTATTGATTAGTTAGTTAAGAGCTGTTGTAATTGATGATGATGATAAATAGATGAGGATGATAATCAAGTATAATCAAGGGAAAGAGTGTTAGATGAAGATGAAGAAAAAAATATTCACCAATTTCCAATTTTATCTCAAATTAATCAGAGTTTCACCTGAACTTTTTACCATGTCTATCATGATAAACTCCCAAGTTGATGAAGATAAAGATGAAGATAATGGAAGATGAAAGGAAAAATCTCTCTCAATCTCTAAGGTAATTTTATCCTAAATTCAAATATTAATAGTTATTTACTTTTACGTTTGACGTAACAATTAATGATTGTTAATTAATCAGATCGATTAATTAATCAATTCAGTAAAGGTAAACACTATCATCTCTATTGATATAAAGATAAATTTTCAGCTCAATTTAAATCAAGTTTTCCTCTGATTATAATTGATTGGCGTTGAAAAAAAAACTCTCATCATGATTAACTGATATTAAACAATGGTAACAATTAACAAATTATATCGACAGTTAACTAATAGAAATAAATATGTATAAATAGATATACTATTTTGTTAGGTAATTGTTCAGCATTTTGGAAATTGTCATATCCATTAAATTGTTATAATAACTGTATTAATATTCAACTAATTAACTGTTCCTGTTGGGAAATTTTTTCCTGATTCTTTTTGGATGATTACATTTCCGTTTTCCGGGTCTTGTGTTTTATATTCATACAAACAGAGATTAACAGTTGTACACAATTAGAATTTGTTGATTGTCGGTAAAGAGAGATGAACCATAATGTATTGACCATTGTCCATTATCCTAATTAGTGTCATTAAAAAGAGCATGATAACTGTAAGTTAAATTGGAATCAGAGATCATAATGATTAACTTCATTTCTAACGTTAGACTTTCATCATTATAATGATCGTTATGTAAACCATTTCATTTGATTCAGTTTTTGGAAATTCATTAATGGTCAGTCTATGGGTCATCTCTCTCTCTTTCTTTATTCTCGAGAGATCCAGACTATGGGGAGGGAGATGAATATCAAATATTGGATGCTGATATCGTCCAAAGAGCAGGGTGGGTTTTACATGCAGGTTAATCTGTGGATAAATATTCAGGGTGGAGAAAAAAAGAATAAGAAAAATTGAAATTATGAATAATGATTATAATCTGAAACAATTATCACTTGAAATTATCACACGTTTTTTGAATAATTTTACTGTTACCATGGATCAAGAATAGATCAGTTTAATGGTGATAATCAGTGGTGATAATTATGATGAATAGAAAAGTGTTTTTTTAATAATAACAAAAAGTGAATTATGTTTCGTTTCAAACATAACAAATACTCGCCTTTTGTATTATATTAGTTAATCTTCATTCTCATCATCATCGTCTTTTCATTTTCACATAATCTTCCCTGATTTTCAAACTGAACAAATTGTATATTAGTCTTTCATTGATGAGAATGATGATAAAATAATAATTAGAGAGAGAGAGAGAGAGTCTTTTCTCTGTGTAGATTTTAGTTGATGTAAACCAAAACACAACTAACGGTAGATTCATCCGCTGAATTGAATGACTGGTTATCATGATCATGGTGATGATTGAGAGAGACACAAGGAATATAATATATGTATGCACAGTAGAGGTAAAAAATACACGATGGAAACTTGAGAGATGATGATTGATGATCTTCATTTAGTGAGAAGGCGGTTTTTCAGTTACTCGAGGATGGAATCAACTTTTATCTTCCTCTCTCTCTCTCTCTCTTCATATTGAATCAACTGAATACATAATGATGATGATGGAAACAAGAACTTATAGTCACCGGAATACAAATTGAGATTATTTGAATAATCAATTAAAAAGGAACAAATTAATTAACTGGTTTCTACCAAAACACTAACCAAAAATGAGACGAAAATTAACTCAGCTGATCGGATAAGATTCTTAATTAGATAACCACCCCTTTAGAATTTTTCGTAATCAGTTAATTTTCCCTTTTTTTGAATTTTAATTCTCTTGATTGTTTCCATTTAATTTTTTTTATTTTAATTGGTGTTTCTCTTGGTTTTTTTTGTTTGATTTGGTTAGTTATTGGTTACTTACTGAGTGTTTATAAATGATCTGCCTTGGATTACGTGCATTCATTGCCGCTGGACAGAGAGTTGGATTAATTATCCCAATTGGACCTGGTGGTATGGGCGGAGGTAAATCTTGTGAGGAGGGCGGTGGTTGTTGCTGTTGTGACTGTGGCTGGGATTGAGATTGATTTGGATGGTGTGAATGTGGCGCAGGTTGAAGATGGCTATGACCACCATCACCATGGATAAGGTCACAAGAGGTCACTTGTATTGGATGAACCACACTCAATGTATTTACTGGTCCACTTTGTCCTACACTTATACACGTTCCCCCTCCACCACTACCACTATTAGTATTGATTCCACCTCCTTGAGAAGATTGTTGCTGTGACTGTTGCCCAGATTGTAAGGCTCCTTGGCTACCGGTTATACATCCAATCCCTGGATTCCCTGTTACACTGATTGTACCACCACCACCACCACCACCTCCTCCTCCTCCTCCTCTATCACTTAATGTTAAATGTCCCGAAGTTGAATTGCTATTATGGTGAGAAGGCAGTGAAGCAAGACGTTTCTTTTGGTCTTCTTGCATCTTATTCATCTGTTCAATTCTCGATTTTCTCATTGCAATACGTTTACCAAGATAACCAACGGTCGCATATTCAAGGAGGGAAGCGAAAACCATAACGAAACAAGTTCCAAGGAAAACATCAATCGATTTGATATAAGATATTTTCGGAAGTTGGGCATTTGTTGAAGACATTAAAGTTGTCATTGTAAGGACAGTGGTCACACCCAGTGAAACTCTAGCCGGAGTTGCATTACGATGTAACCAAAATGATACCCAACTTATCACCACTATAAGGCTTGCGGGAATGTATATTTGTATCAAATAGAAACCCAGTGATCTGGCAAATCTAATTTCACATACTAATCTGGAATAGTTTCCTACAAAGAGAAAACGATGAGATGAAACAAACAATCAAATCTAAATTTGTTTTCTTTTTCCATATTCCAAATGGTAAAAACACCAAAAGGTAAGTAATCATTTACCTGTACTTAAAGCGTTGGCTTGAGTTTTCTGTGCATGGCCAAGAACTTTGAATTGAGGTAATGAAAGGTCACTATTCATTCTAATCGATTTTTTTCCTTCTCTCCAAACATAGATCATATCGGACATCGAATAACCATCTGAAACAGAAAAAGAGATAAAATATAAGTTAAAAAGGAAAATTGAAACAATTCAATCGATTAAGGAACATATCATCAACTTCTCTAATCTTCAAATGTACTTACAACTTTCTATTTCTAAAGCACATTTCTGCCTATCCATTGGAAAATATTGTAACTCCATAGGACAACTCGCTGTTACCGTTAATCTGTGTGAGTAGATAAACGATTAAGTTTGATTTTTGATCTTAAAATTAATTCCCTGTCAAGTAAATTTACCTTATACTACGAAAAACTTCACCATTTGATCCGATACGTAGAAAGGTATTTTTAGTTGTTGCAAAATGAAAACTAGCTGATTTTTCATTAGCGAAAAAAGTATCAGGAACCCATATCCGGTCAGCTACTTCCGCTCCTACATAAAGCTCAGTAATCCTTGGTAAAGGGATGAAAGCTAATCTTGGATCTTCCCAAAATTGTCGAAAGTAAAAATCGGATGTGAAATCCTATGTGAGAAAGGAAGAAAAAAAAATGATACAAATCAGAATTAACAATAGAAAATTTCAACATCAATGAGTCTTGATACAATCTAATTATGTTCAGTTTGTTGATTGTTACATATTCATGTTAAGTAAGATGAGATAATCATGATTTTCATTATGAATTCATATTGTATCAAATATCAATCATGTTTAATATCATCACAAATCTTAATCATCAATTTCTTGTCTTGACATTATGTTTACATGGTTAATATCATAACAATCATATCATAATTGTTTGTAATTTGATTAATGAGCAAACGATTAAATTACAAATGGTGAGTTAATTGAAAAATTAACTGAAACCGCAAAATTATGCGGACAATTCATTTACTCACAATCAAAATAATTTACCCTAATTACTTTGATGAGTTTGTAAAAAAAAGGTTTTAAATTTTTTCTCAAACCTTAATTGTTGGTAAATTGATCAAAAACAAACAATTAGATTGACATTAAATTGCTGAATTGATTCAAAATTGAAAGACAATAATTTGATAATCACTTGAAAATAACTATTATTATGATTTATTTAAATGGCTTCCCACTGTCAACGATTAGCATGAATAGTTAAATTAATCAATGATGATTTAGGATTTGATTGTCAACCCAAGAATACAATTAACTTAATTTTTGTCCTCTCACTTATCTTAACAATTGAAAAGTTCGATTAACAATTAAGTTAATTTTTCTCTTTTTCAACATTTTTCATGTAACAAATTCAACTCATGAATGTTTCATATTCAGAATGAAAACTGAATTCATGTATTCATATCATCCTGGTTTGAATATATATTGAATCCAAACTGAATCCATAATGATAATAATAACATGATAAACAAAAGGCTAGTAGGCAAAAATAATATAACTATGAAGCAAAAAAAGTTCAGGTAGATTGAGATTCTGATTGAGATTCTGAATAATAACGATATTATTTTTTCTCTCTAGGTTTTAATATTTTTTTCGCTTCTTAGGTTATTTCATCATTTATTTTTGAAGATTAATATGATGAAAAGTATGATGATAAAATGGGAGCTTGAAAATGAATTGAAATTGGGTAGAGAAAAGTTGAAAACAAAATGAATTGAATCAATTCATTTGGGTGAAACTTTTTTCATGGGGAAACTGTTTTTTTTGTGGGTTATATCATCGTTCATGTAACTATCGGTTCATACATCAACTTTGATAGTGGACGGATTTTCTCATTCTTTTTCACTAGAAATCCTTGAATTTTATTTATCAAAGTAGTTAATCCATTTCTTATTGCAAAGTGTTAATCCAATCGATGAAAAATTTCATCATCAATTTGGATTATACAACAACATGAGATAAAAGGAAATTGAAGATGATGAAAAAAGGATGATGAACATTACAGAATTGAATGTTTATTCCGACTGAGAAGCAGAATTGAAGCTCAGAACTTACTGGGAGTTTCTCTCTCTCTCTCTTCGTTCCCCTCCCATAAGAAGATGAGCGTTATTTTTAGATGACTTTTCCTCGTCATTCTCATTAGAACTATAATGAGAATGATAATCATTATGAACAAGATGATGATAAAATCTTGGTTGACCTTGTTTTCTCTCCTCATCCTTTTTTCACTTAACTCTCTCTCTCTCTCTCTCTCTCTCTCTCTCTCTCTCGCTCTTTCAATCGTATTTTCTCTTTTACTGAAAAAACTGACCAGTGAAAAAAAGTTTGCAGAGATTGATGAAAATGGACAATATCATCTCTCTTTCATCCTTATCACCATCGATATCATTTTAGGAGGAAGACAAATGATGATAAAAGTGAATGAAAAAAAGCTTCAAAAAATAAGATTAATGATATTTTGGTCATCATCTTAACATGATAACCATGATAATAACCTGATCTCATTTTGAAATATTGTCTGTATTTTGTTTTTGTTTGTTTGATAATATGATGTTTGTCTTGCAAACATTTTTAGGCTTCACTTAATTCCTAGTAAATATCATCATCATCATGCTATTTATTATTATTATTTGCTGTCAACATATAATGATCATTGAATATCATAATAATAATCTGATGATGATGATGATGATGAGCAAAATGTTAAGGTGATAAGCTTGTCAAAAGCATCTTGTCCTACTTTAACCACCAAGTCGCATGATAAAACTGATGAAAAGAAAATTTTTTTCTCCCTTTAACCCTTTACCACAATCAAACTCTATTTACTTTCTCCCAAAATGATCTTGTAAATATTAACCAGAAATCAAGTTAATTCTCTGTATTTCTTATCATCTGTGATTCCATTTAATCAACTTACCTTTGAACATTTACGATTATCATGTATCATGATTTGTGGAGTAAGATTGAAGATTCTAAGCTGAGTAAGATGATGAAGACAAAAAAATATTCTATATGTGAAAACTTTTACTCTCTTCTTATTTTCTCTCTCACTGAACATTTATCATCATGATGTTGATCATAAGCGATTAACATCAATTCTAATCTGAGAACAAAAAATAACAACATGATTACATTAATGTTTGTCCATTAAGTAGATTAGAAAGTGTGAATTTTACATGGAAAGATTGAGAGAGCGAGAGAAAAATAATTCTTTTCTTTTGTATGATGAAATTTCCAACTTACTCTCATGGTTTCATCATATATACTAATATCATGGTAGTATCAATATATGATTACGTATAAATAGATTATCATGAAAATTATGTTTATCAGAATTGAGTAAATATTGAGAATTGACTCTTATGTTTATTTATTTATCTGTCTATGTTTATGTCTCTTTCTATTCTGAACTGAATAAATATCTATATAATTATATATTATATAAGATATGTATTGAAATCATACCGGAACTCTGGTTTCTATGTAAAGATAAAATTGTGTTGTAAAAAAATCCACCACCAGAATTGATTATGAACTTTATATATTTTTCAAATCACCAAGACACTCACCTTTCAATCATATTTACAAGATTATCATTATTACCTCTTGTTATTGACAATACTTTAGCATGATTGAGTATTTACTTTCAAGAATATAAACAACCCTGATAATCTCCCATGAAAGTAAAACCCCATACTGATTTTCGAAGCTATTCCAAGATCATTGAGAAAAATCTGAATACTTAAATTATAGAATGGAAATTGATTCCAATTGTAAGTGGATGATAACAATTGCTTGTGATTTAAAGTCTCTTGAGAGGAATGATTTGTATTACATGTACATATCGATAATCAGAATCATCATCGTGAAAAGTTGATTTTTTGCTCTTTCAGGGTGATTCATGTTCAGATGATTATCTGTTTACACAAACATTTACTTGTATATTTTCATTGAAAAAGCTTTTCAATTCAAGTGGACATATGTTATTGGTCATTTCAAGTTTGTTTACTTTGAAAACTTTTTTTTTATCTCATGATAAGATTTTTCCTTCCACTTCATGGTCATAATGATATTATCTGAATTGAAATGAAAATATAATGATGAACTTCAACGCTGAATATATTGAATCCATTTGTTTTTCCTCTTGATTAGTTTGACATTTTTAAGTTTTATTTTCTAAACTATTAACACACTGAACAAATTGAATTTGCAATCAATCTTATCAAGATAATCTCATGATTTATCTTATCTTGAACTTATCAGGATCCAAAGATTGATTTAATATTGAAACTTTTCTTTGCAATAAGCTGAAGCAAAGTTTTATGAGTAGTGAATGAAATGCTGAATTAATAACCATGAACTTTTATATTGAAAATATGATAAAGTTTTGAAACATTTTTCCGATGATGAGGGAAGAAGATGAAGAAAAGAAAAAGTGTTTTTGTTGAAATAATAAGAATAACTTCTAAATTTTGAAAATTGTCTTGATGTGGACTTGAAGATGATGGAAAAGATGAAGATTAAGATTAAAAAAATAGTTATATTCTATTGAGAAAAAATAGAAACTAGATAAATCTCGTTCATCATTACAAAGGTCTCTCTGAATTCCAGGGAATCAAAAATAATATATAAGGTTTTTCTCTTCCTCATCGTCTTTTACTTCATCTTCATCTTCATCTTCCTCATTCTCATTCTTATCATCAACATCATCTCTCTCTCTCTCTCTCTCTCTCTCTCTCTCTCTCTATTATTATTTGTAAAAATCATTAGCGATACCAAATAGCATTAACTTTTCTACAGAAACATCAAAATCGAACAAGAAGTTAATCTTATCAGGGAAGCAAAAGAAGGAAAAAAAACTCGAACATAAACTTTTCTGCTTTCGAATTAACTTTTTGCTCTTTCTTTTTTCCCTTTCCCTTATCGAATCTGCTCATTTATACTATACCTCTTAAAATGTTCTGAACTTTTTCAACAACTCATCATCCCAAATACGATAGATGAACTTATCATTATTATTATTAATAATACAACTCACTTATATCGATGGGTTAATGATATACCCATAAAAGTAATAACATATTGATGTGTTTACAAGATCATTTGAATTAGTTTAATCTCCTTTTTTAATGATAACTCGAGCACATTTACTCTTGTGTTGTTATTTTCAGTGTTAATTATACTTGTGGTTAGCTAAATGATATTGATACAATTACATTATCAATAATATTTACATTGTTTTTTGATCATCGATATAGTAATTTTCTCCTTTGTTTGTAAATAAATTTGTTAAACAAATAATTATACACATTTAATAGTTGATTTGATATTGTATTGATTGAGAAATATAATACATATAAACATAATAAGACAATTTAATTGTAATTTAACTGTTACGTTTAACTATCATATTATGATTTAACAAAAGAGTCTAAAAGGAATCTATTAATTTTCATTGTAACCATTGATTACCAACTGATTGTATTGATAATGATAGAAAGTTGAATCTACATTCATATGAAGATATTGATGCTCAGTTTGATAGCCTAATTGAAAATCGATTGCAAAGCCTGTGAGCAAAGTTCTGAGTTCGAGGACGAACAAGCTAAGTATAGAATGAAGAGAAATAAAAGAAGAAGGAAAATGATGAAGATGAGGATGATGAGATTCCAGGAAGCAAGAAAATAGTGAAAGGTTGTACTAGTAGAATGAAAAAGAATGATGGAAATGTGAGAGAGTGAGAGACAAATCTCATAATTTTCAGGTTCATGGGCTTTGTCCTAACCCAACCCAGAATCTGAGCTCACTTCTGGTCGTCATATATTAATATCTCTGGTTACCACTTAGGTGGAAATCAGGGAACTCAATTGAATCTGAAAAAAAGTCTGAAGTTGAAAAGGGAAGAAAGAGAAGAGAGAAAGTGACTATGTTGAAGGGATCATAATCATTGACAAGAAAATGATGATGGTGAGGATGAAAAATGTTCCAATGTAAATGATATAACATGATGATTGGCATTGTGTCCATCCCCTTGTATTAGGTCAACATTGAACCTTTTGACCTACATTTTGATTTGAACCTTTTCCAATTGAAATATTCCTTATGAATGTGAACATGTAAAGTTTAAATAAAAGGTTTCTCGGTAATTGCTTGAATTCTTGATGATTATCATCAACTTAATGATAAAACCTCAATAAAAATATTACATCTCACACAATTATAATAATAACTTAATCACGATGATCATTGTCTAGAAAGTAATGATAATTGATTAAATATCATCATCATTATTATTATTAACAAAAGTCAAAATAATACAGTTATTGGATCTATGATTTCAACCTGATTTCAATTCTGGTTGATTGACATTATTATTACTCTTATGATATTATTACTATCATGATGATGATATTGATCAATATGATGAACTTTCCGCTGATGATAATCAATTTATGTGAATCATTTGGAGGACTCAATCATTAATAATATCAATTGAGATTAATGAAACATTGAGTTTGATTTTTCTTTACTATTGATGGTAAATTACCGATAACATTGTAACAATTAATTATTAACCATGAGCTCAAATGAATATCAGATTATCATGTTCACAAAACAAAGAAAAGTAGATACACTATTAACCAATAAATGTGATGATGTTAATTATTGATGAGCCTTTGAATTCTCATGGAAATTACAGAAAATTAATTTAACTTTCACTTTAATTCATGTGAATTTATCATGAAGATGTAATAGATTAACAGAATTCTCAGATTTTACTGATTATTTATCGTTTTTTTTTCGTTCATTTTTTGCTGCAATTATTAGATTGTGAACTCATTGTGCTTATAATGAATGGCATGCGCTGGCAAGGGAAATGTTTCCATGAAATGATCATGAAGGCAAGAGGAAGAAAATCAATAGATATGAATATAAAATTGAAATGTGAAACTTGATGGGAATGATATACAAGAGCTCAAGTGAAAAATTGATTATAATTAAAGTGATTTAACCTACGTTAACCTTTTGAAAAGTCGAATACAATTGAAAAACTTATGAATGGTAAAGACAAGATGATGGAGAGATTATTTCATCTTCATCATTGAAGAAGATGAAATAATTTTGATAGTTGATGGTTATAATGTAAATCACGGATCAAGATTCAGGGACGATGATGATGTTGACACAAGCATATACACATACTAAAGTGATAAAAAGATGATGATGAAGATGAAAAATAAAGGTCACGTTTAGTTTGAAGATGTTTGTTGTTAGTAAAATAAAAGGATGAAGATAATTGAACCACTTTTAATACTGAAGATTTAACACAGAAATGATGATAACTCTAAAGATGTGATTCAAAATTGCGAAGGAAACTCTGAGCTTTTCAGATGAATATAATGTTATCAAATTTCGAACTGTTTTTTTTTCATGATACACGTAGAAGTTTAGGTGAAATAGAAAAAGTTTTGCTAATCGAATAGGAATAAGTAGAAAGAGGTGAAAATATCAAATTCTTTCGAGTCTTTCTCTTGAATCTCCAGATCATCCTGGCGATTACATTTGATACTGTTTACCTACGAACCATTTTCATCCTAAGTAATCAGATCATCAAAATTTGTCAGTATCACAAAATGATGAGGATAAAATCATCAGAAGGAATCTAATACTATTAATAGTAGTTGAATCTGAAAGGCAATTTCTATGATAAACTTAATCTCTTTGCAAACAAAATCAAAAGTTATCATGAAAAAAAATCATCAATTGATGAAAATGTTGCTCAAATTAATCACGAACAAATATTTTATCTTTCAATTATCTTTCAATTCCCAATTTTATCATCATCTTTTGCTAATATCTTGATGATTGCATCGTTTCAGATTATTTCTACTCCTTTTCTTGATTCTTTACCGCATTTACTTTATCTACATTTGCCTTGAACCAGTGGAAAAGATCATAATTTCCGTTATCAATTTTCCGTCATGATAATGACGAAGATTTGATTCTGAACAACGAATTATGATCTGTAAACATTACGTTAATATTAGATGTTATTTCTAAGTCCATGGTGATGATAAACATTTAAAGCACATTAGATAAAAAGAAAGAAAAATGAACAAATTTCTAACGAGAAAAATTCAGCATCATTACCATGGGTATCGTTTCATTCTCATCTTTATCTGTACTCTAGAATAATCATCATCTTCATCTTTTCATCCAAAACAACATTTTGCAACATCTTCCATACACACATAAGAAAAAAAAGCATCGAAAACTATTTTTAGATAAAATTCTATTCTCTTTTTTTCTTCTCTATCTCTACATCCCTGTTTTTTTTTCTTCCTGCTCAGTCGCCTGATGTTTGTCATTATTACCTCTTCTTCCTCTCATCCTCATCCTCATCTTTATCTCTAACATCCATCTCTTTCGCAAAGTCATTTTTATATTAATTAAACTATGGTTGAGCAAATCAGTGTGGTGATTAAGACATACATGATGATCATCATGTATTATTACCCTTATTTAACTGCGCATCAGCTTGAGATTAAATCGTTTCATTTAATCATCACCATCTTCATCCTCATCTTAGGCCCATTTCCTTTGATCTCGCCATCCTAATGACCCTAATCATGAAAATTATTATCTCTTTCTCTCACTCTCTCAAACACATACTCACTCCCTCTCGTTATACACAATTAAACCTCAATCTCTTGCTTGACTGTTTACATTGATATTTTTGTTTATTTAATCATAAACAATCAATATCCAGGTATAATTATCACAGTTTATTAAATCAACTAGATTGTATCAAGATTGTATTATGTATACAATTTTGTTTGTTTGATTGATATGATATTTGCAATTCATTGGGATTGTTATTATTATGTTAACTGTTGGTAATTAAATTAATTTAAACTTACCATTTGAACTTCAGAAACTGTACTGATACTAATTATATGCATGGTAACTCCTATTTCAACGGGTGGACCTGATTAAAGTTGATAAATGATCAGAGAGAAGGACAAAAAAAAACATAAATTAATAACAATTAAACAATAATCTTCATTATTGCAATGATTTAATTATTTATGAATGAGTAAAAAAAAATTCTATCATAATATTTGAATGAAAGATGTAAATTTTATTCATTACAACAAATAACAATAACATGTAATCACCATTAAGATATAACAATAGTGACATGAAAATGATGATGATAACTATATAATCATGATACTATTAGTGTATTACATTTAATCAATATCAGCATCTTCATCATAGTTAAACATTTTATCATGATTATCCATGCCAATAATATAATAATACATTTATCAATATATTGCTCCAGTGTTACACTGAATGTTTATCATGAAACTGAAATGAACTGAATCCTTATCTTTTTTTTTTGCTATTATTGTTATTCTGTCAATAGTTTCCCCCTGTGTTCATGTGTATTATTATCAATAACATGAAGTATTATTTGTCCGTGTTTATACATATATAAGATACAATTTAATGTATAACTATCGATGAGAATTGATGGAGTCGACTCAGGTCAAAAATGATCGAATCGAGCTCAAGAATATGATGAATACAGGGAGGGAAGAAAAAAGCAAATTTCTTATGAGAAAATTTTCTTCTCCTTGATTATCCTATTCATTGCTGGTTGTTACGTTAATTGTGTGTATGTTGTTGGTTAATAAACAATTCAAAAGTTTCTGTGTTAATCAATAGACAATTTAGACTATTTTTTCATCAGAATTGAATGATTATCCTAAATGTGAATGAATTAACTTGGTTGAAAGTTGATTACTGTTCACCTTTACAGTTCTCATGGTGATTAAATTGATTAGCCTATTGATTAGTAATTACAATTTGATTGGATAGTTTTTGTATTGATTTAAATCATTTTGTATTGTAGTTTTCTGATAACTATTAATACTTCAAACTCACCTCCGTAATTAGGTCGGACTCGTTTATCGTAACCACTGGCAAAAAATGCATTCAAAATGCGCGTTATATTTTGTCCCAGTGCATTTCTGTAAAGATTAATAGGAGACAACAATTAGTAAATTGTTAAGAAATTAATTGTCAATCATATTTACCCTTTTTCACCGATATCAATATCAGTTGAACCTTTGATACTATTCAATTTGATTAACACTATGAATGTAATTAGTGGACTATATACAGATATCCAATTGCTTATCAGACGGATTATCATCGTTAATTAAATTGTATTTGGTGATTGAATTGTTAACACTTAAAATTTATCCCGTTTTTTGCAAACTAATTGAGATTAAATCCGCTTTGTAATCTAATTGTTATTGAGATTTAATTGTTAATAATGATGAAGATGAAGATGATTAACCTTCTTTGATCCCGAGGTTATCACTATTATAACCATAACACTAGTGATTTTAATTTAAATTGTTCACAATACATGGTACCGTTGATTATTGATAATCACTAATTGAATAGTAGAAAAAAGAACCAATCGAATATTTTCAGCAGTTTCCGACAGTAAACTAATATTGTTAATAATTGTTGTATCACAAGTAAAGAATTTGATAATATTATCATTCATAAGATTATAATCATCTTCAATTTCATCATGTTACTATCCAGTATCATGATATTATTATTATATTAACCATGGAGCTAATATAATATCTAATGTAGCGAGAATACATCAAAAGGTATCAAAAGGAAAGGATAAAGTTAAATGAGGACATTTAATTTTCTATGAGAGCAAGAAGAGAGAGAGAGAGAGAGAGAGAGAGAGAGAAAGGAACAGGGAGAAAATGATCAATTCTAATATATTGTGGAGATATTTGAAGATTTTAACACTAAAGATGATATATATTAACGATGGTGAGGATGAAGATGAAGATGAGGATGAGGATGAGGATGATGATTATACTGTTGATAATGAAGATGTGGATGGTGGATGTTAATGTAGATTATGGTTGATGGTTGATGGTTGAAAGTGATGGTGATGGTGATGAAAATTAAAACACAAATAACCAGGGTAAAAATGGAAACTTAAATTTTTATAAAATCATTTTGATTATTGGTTAAATTTCAATCTCTCAATCAATCCAACATATAATAATTGATTCACTTTCATTTGATCAATACTGATAAATATGATGAAAATTCAACGTGAATGATAATATTCGTTAAAAGATGAAGGAGGTGGACGAGGAGGAAGAGGAGGAGGAGAGGTGGTAGAAGATGAAGATGAAGAAGATGAAGAAAAGGAAGAAAAAAGAAGAGATGTAGATGAGTAGAAAAGAAAAAGAAGCTAAAGAAAGAAGCTTAAGAAAAAAGGTTACAGAGAGATAATAAATTCCCAGAGACGAAAGAATCGATTGCATGAGTTTCATGAATCTCACCAGAGGGAAGAGTTGATAAAGAGTTAAAATTACATATGATGTTACCCATGAAATCCATACTTCGTAACAGATAAATAGTTCTTAGTTGCCATCTCTCTCTCTCTCTCTCTCTCTCTCTCTCTCTCTCTCTCTCTCTCTCTTTCTTTCTCTTCTTCCTTACCTTACTGCTTTTCTCACAGAAGCTTTTGTATATTTAGCAAGAATACCATCTATCGGAATCTGAATTATCTACACAATTGATTCGTTTTCAGATGAAAGAGATTCCAGTTTTTTTGTTCCTTGGGTGAAAATTTTGTCCATCCATGATTTCATGTTAACCTTTTACTCGAGTAAATTTTTTTACCCACTAACCAGCTTCATCTTCAGAGTTTTTCATCTTTCTCTCTCTTTATCTTCATCATCATCATATGCACCTTGAGCCCCTTTTTAAAACGTTTATTAGTAATTCCATTATCTTAAATTAAAGAAGCTAGTGAATCAATTATATGTTGGATTGATTGAGAGATTGAAATTTAACCAATAATCAAAATGATTTTATAAAAATTTAAGTTTCCATTTTTACCCTGGTTATTTGTGTTTTAATTTTCATCACCATCACCATCACTTTCAACCATCAACCATCAACCATAATCTACATTAACATCCACCATCCACATCTTCATTATCAACAGTATAATCATCATCCTCATCCTCATCCTCATCTTCATCTTCATCCTCATCATCGTTAATATATATCATCTTTAGTGTTAAAATCTTCAAATATCTCCACAATATATTAGAATTGATCATTTTCTCCCTGTTCCTTCTCTCTCTCTCTCTCTCTTTTCTCTCTTTCTTGCTCTCATAGAAAATTAAATGTCCTCATTTAACTTTATCCTTTCCTTTTGATACCTTTTGATGTATTCTCGCTACATTAGATATTATATTAGCTCCATGGTTAATATAATAATAATATCATGATACTGGATAGTAACATGATGAAATTGAAGATGATTATAATCTTATGAATGATAATATTATCAAATTCTTTACTTGTGATACAACAATTATTAACAATATTAGTTTACTGTCGGAAACTGTTGGAAATAGTTTATTGTTTTCCGTTAAAATTTAATTAGTGATTATTGATGAATAATTAACGTTACCATGTTTTAAAGTGAAAATAATAATCTAAATGCTTAAATTGACAATTATAAAAGGTGAAAACAATTTAAAATGGAAACCAGCTAATTAAAAGTGTTATGTTTAAATCAGTGATACCCTCGGGATCAAGGAAGAGGTTAATCATCTTCATCACAAACAATACAATCTCAATAACAATTAGTTAAATCACAATTTTGGATTAAATCAACAACCCAATTTAGTTTTTTCTTTTTGCAAATCAAAGGAGTTGAAAAACCAGCAACCAATTGATTGTGTCAAAATCTAATCATCATACACAATTTAATTAACGATGATAATCCGTCTGATAAGCCAATGGATATTTGTGTACAGTCTAATAATCATGTTAATCATGGTAATCAGGATAAATTGTATCAATGGTTTAGCTGATGTTGATATTGGTGAAAAAGGGTAAATATCTCATATATATAAATAAATTATATCATCATGATAATCAATATGAAAAAAGTTATCATGATTTAACAATAAATTAGGTTAATTTGTTGATGATAAAATTAATTGTTTCAATATTCATCTTTATCCATCTATATGCTTAAATGATTATTAATTATCTTATGTTAATAGTAACGCCTTGGGACAAAATATAACTCGCATTTTGAATGCATTTTTTGCCAGTGGATATGATAAAAGGGTACGACCTAATTATGGAGGTGAGTTAATTGTAATCATCATGCAATCATCATCAGTAAATGATTGGATCTGTTTTCTATCTTTCTGTCTTTCTATCATCTATTTAATCACTTAATTATCTTACCTGATAACTTTGTGTGATTAAGTCTTCAACGGTTTAACTAACCGTTTACTTTTTTTAACAATGCCCACCGGTCAGTTGCAATTATCTTAATGAAAAAGTGAAGATCCAAATTTGATTTTTATCTTGTTAATTGTATTGATTATTTACACGATTGGTGGTGTTATTATTATTTGTAGTTTTCTTTTTATCACTTTCATGTTATAATTTCTTTGTGATAGTTAGTCTTTTACCTGTTAATTGTTGACGAAAATGAGATAATTAGTCATTCTAACATTTCAACCGAATCTTTTCATTATCAACTGAATGTTATGTTATAATCAAATCATTATTTGAGAGGTTGATGAAATGTTAGACCAACGAAAGTAACCTACTAATGATAATGACAGAATAGAGAGTGAAAGATGAAGATGATAATGAAGATAAGGATGAGGATAAAGATGAAAAGTGAAAGAAACAAAAAAATGTTCATTTCAATTTGTTCTTGTTTTTTTTTCTTTTTCCTTGCAGCTCAGAATTCCGATGTTATCTGCATCAGAATTCAGAGCATTCTCCATAACATTATATTATTATTATCGGTGGATGAGAAGAGAGATGATGATGATAGGGGTGGATGTGAATGGGTTGCTAGAGAAGAGAAAAAAATAGAAAACTAAAGCTTAAGCAGGAAATGAAATACGATAGATACAGATTGATAGATAGATATAACTGAATGTTTCCAAGCTGAATTCTGATAATATACTGGGAATGGAATTGGCGGAATCAGAATGAACGAGGAGGATAGAGAGAGAGAGAGAGAGAAGGACGTTAGGGAAGATGAGGAGGCATGGGTTCAGAAAAGATTCTGAATGGTGATGAGGAATGATGATATTCCATGTATGTGTTCAGTACACAAGTTGTTCACAATATTTCATTATACTTTTCTATGGTTGCAGATTTTTTCCCTTTCAGCTCATGGTAAGCATGAAATGCTCATGTACTTACTTACCCAGATATCTCACTGAACTTTTTTTTCTCTTTCTGTCTTCTTCTTCCTCTTGCAATACAAGAGGAGCTCTTTCTATATATTATCTTCTCTTCATCATTCTTCTTTCTCTCCATCCTCATCATCTTTCTCTATTTACGATCAATAGCTGATTCTCATGAAATCTATCAGGAACCTCCACCAACCAATAGATTGTGCCTTCTCTTTCTCGCTCTCAACGACTCACTCAAAGATACATATATCATGATATCATCAGCATCATGATATATATAACATGATAATATTGAATTCCTTTGATTTTTTTTCTCATAATTCTTGATTATTCCCAAGTTTATGCATATGAACACTCATTGATTGTTACTTAATCTTTTTCTCAAGTGTGTTAATACTCTGGATTAATTTTCTTGGATTTACCTTGAAAAGAAAATGAATCTGTTGACCATTTTGAATAATAACCATTTAATCAATGATAATGCGATTGAAATCAAAGATGATTACAATTGTTGAAATAAATGGAACCAGTTGACCATCAAAGTAGCCATTGCAAACCATTAATCCAACCATTTTCATAATTAAACCGATAATCTGACAAAATATTAGTTAATGTTTTTTATTTGCCTGAGAAAACATAAACTAATTTGAAATAAAGAAACAAAGAAATAGAAATAAAATAGAAGAAATAAAAGGATGAAATCATCGGTTGAATGGATTATGAATAGATGGATTAATGCATAATTCAAGAGATTATCATTTTAAACAATAGGAGGATAATAATCCATATTCAGTTGTTCAATTAGTTTGGGTCATCGTGATGGTCAAAAAGTTTTCAATTGAAAGAAAAGATGACAAGATTATCCTTTACCATTGGAGTTGATGTAATGTTATTTTTAGATGAAGGGGAAAAAAGATTAACTCGATTCCAATTTAATAAACATTGAGAAGATGAAGAAGAAAACGAAAACGGATTTAGGTCAAAATATCAGTTCGAAAAGGATGAGAATGATGAATTAAGTATTATCATCTTTCTGTTTAAGTTTGACTTTTATTGTTCATCTTGTACATTTACAGAACTGATTATAATGATGACGATAATAATCTGATTATCATGAATATAAGGAAAAAAAATAAGATGAGAAAAAAAATCATCCATAATAGAAACCAAGTATATTTACTTATCATCATCATCATATTGTTTCCATTTATCATCATCATCAATATACAGACTAGACATGGAGACAAAATAAACGTTAACTAAGACAAATTGTTTCGAATCGTTAGAACGTAAACAAAACTCGCAATTTAATTTCGTTTGTCAAATGAAATGGTTGCAACGAAATTAAAAAACTGTTGAAATGAGGGAAAAGAGGGAAAAACAAATAATCATTGCTGATGATTTTCCAACCATAATTGTAACCTAATTGATCTTAGGCATCAATTAATCAGAATAATAATAAAACTTTTGTACTACTTTTTTGCTTTCGCAGGTCCACCAGTTGAAGTAGGAATAAGTGTTTACTTTACAAGTATAAGTTCAGTCTCTGAGGTTAAAATGGTAAGTAGATTGGTCTAGATTTTATTTTGTTCACCTTAACTTGTTATATACGAAATTGATTGAAATTGTTTATTATCTTTTTTTTACAGGATTTTACCTCTGACTTTTATTTTAGACAAGGTTGGAATGACCCTAGATTAGCATTTGACCCTCTTCCAGGCATAAGTAACCTTTACGTGGGTGCTGAGGTAGCCAAGAAAATTTGGGTTCCCGATACTTTCTTTGCCAATGAAAAGCAAGCCTCCTTCCATGTTGCCACAACACCCAATAGATTCCTTCGTATAGCCTATGATGGATCGGTTTACCAAAGTATTAGGTAATTAATTAACGAATTACAACTTGTACCATTAATTTTAATCATTATTTACATGGGAACAATAACAATACCACCAAAGAACCAACGTCAACCTTAAATATCAAACGCAAAGTAAAATATTTTTTCAATGTGAATGAAAGTTTATACGTTTTCTTAATTTTTCATTCATTAATTAGTTTTTCTTTGTTTTCTTTTCTTCTTTTTTGGTTTTTTACTCAATTAATGATTATAATTAAGTTCAACGATTAGTTCATTCATCATCAATTTTGAAGGAAAATATTTCTTTGTTTTGTTTATCTTTATCATTAGGAAATCAATTGTTTATTAATTGTGTTTACCTTTTAATCATTTCCGTTTTCTTTAAGAATGTGAATTTATTTTCGTTGATTGTTTTTTGTTTGTTGCTTCGTTCTGATCATTATCAACAATCAATCAAATGATTCATGATGATGAACAATTATCATCATTAACTGTGATAGTTTTTCATCTTCTTCAGCTCTTTCTCTTCTCTTTCTCTTGCTCTGTCTGTTTTTTTTCCTTCCTGGTTCTATTCCATAGATTCCAATCATAATTCTGGTTATTGATTATTCTGGTTCTCATGTTTTTCCCTTTCTCTCTCCTACTCCCAATCTCTTTTCCTGATCCTCATGAATAAGAGATTAAGATGAGTTATTATTATCATTCTTGATTCTTTGTGTCTCTTTTGATGGAAAGCGTTTTTTTCATCCTCGTCTTATGATGATGATGATGATGATGATGATTATCATCAGAACTTATTATTATCCATGGAAATAATAAGATTATTATTATCTTTTCTGAATGAGTTTCAATGTTACTCTCATGTTATTGTTCATTTTGCTTATTATCATCATCGATTTATGGAAGATAATTGATGAATGATGATGACAAAAGGATGAAATTGATGATAGAATAGAACCAGAAATGGAATTGAAATGATTCCGAATTGATGTAATTTCGTTGATTGCTATGGATTCCAATGGGTTTTCAAGTTGAATTGAGTTTATTTGGAATTTGAATTAATTGTTGATTATGAATTGGAATTTTTTCCCCACTATAATTCCAGTAATTAAATTGCTTTTAATGTTAATTATTTAGGTTTTATGATTAACGTGACCATGTTTATCCTTGATCCTTAATTGTTACTCAATCAGAAAAATATTTTGTAATTATCTCAATGGCTAATATGATAATTACATTGTTAATTGTTGTGATCATTAAATTGATTAGTTCATAAACAATCATGGTAATAATTATAGTCATAATTAATGAATTTCAGGATACCTGATACTGCCCAGTTAAACTGGATTAATAATTAACCTAAACTAATTGTTAATCATTGTAAAAATTGTCTCATTGTTTTTTTTTCAGTATTATTAAGACGTGACAATCATTTGTAATCAGATTAATAATTATGGTGATTATAAAACAAAAGGGTCAAAATTTATTTTCAAAAGTTATTAATATTTATCTAAATTAATTTTCATTCACAATTTTTGATCAAAGGTGAAAATAGTGATTATATTATGAGTTGAATTTAATGAATGACCAGCAAGAAAATAGTTAATTGCAAATGAGATTTTTGACTTTTAAATTTATGATCAAATTGTTGAAACAATTTAAAAGCTAAAAATGAATATTAAAGTTAATCAACTCATTAAACATATGATGAGCGTTTAGATCAATTATCAGAAATTGATTAGCCACTAATCTCAATATAAATGATACAAAAGATTAGATTCAAATAGATAAGAGCATTTTCATCTCACCCCATTTATCCTCATCTTCATGATCATCATGAAAGAAGTTGAGAAGCTAAAATGATAGATAAATACAATATAATGGTTCCTAAGGACAAAAAGATGATTTTTTCCTTGGATGCCAATGATGATGATAATGATGATATGTAGGAAAAGGCGGAGATTAAATAGGTTAAGAAGATGATGATGATGAAAAAACAAGAATCATAGTGATGCGAAGATGAAACAGGAAGGAGAAAAGAGAGAGAGGATGAGAAGGATGAGAAGGATGAAAAAGAAAGTAGCATTTTTGGTATTGTAAACGACTAAGAAGATGAAAAAGATATGATGATGATGGTGGAGATGATTATGATAAGGATGATGATGATGATGATTATGATGGTGGATGAAATTGTAACCCATTATTTTCATACATGATGAGTTTACCTCCTCCCCTTGAGTTAAACTTCAAACAATTTAACTTACCTTGTCTTCCTCCTTCATCCAATCACTATTTATCATCATCGTCACCAATAACAACATTTTCACCCTCAGGGCAATATCCTATGTGTGTATGTTAAGTTACAACATTTGATTGATCAATCAATTATCTCTTGATAATCAACTGACCACTGAGAGTAAATTAAGAAGAAGATGATGATGATGATGATGATGACAAGCATCAGACAAAAATAGTATGAACATATTATTAAACTTTATCTTGACCAGATGAAAATGTTGCTTTAGTTAATTTTTTTTTCTTTGCCTTTACTTTAAGTTCAATCAATTAGCTTAATCATTTGAATTGATGATGATAATCTAAATAATAGCAAATTCATGATATAAGAAAATGATTAATATAAACTGTTTCAATCGTTTGCATGTATAATAAGGAGACACTAACATTTCATATATGAAACATTGAATATTATTATGAATATAAATAGAGAAAAGAAGAAAAAAAGTTCTATTTTGTAATAGAACTATTTTCTCATTCTCATCATCATTTTCATCATCTTTAATACTTTTTTACAGTTCTACCATTTTTCATCATCATCTTTCTCCTCCTGTTCCATCATCATTCATATGCATGTTACTTGAACAATTGAATAACATGAAATAATATCACAAATGATAGAAAGTTTTTGGTTATAAAGAGAAAAGAACTTTTTTTAATATTAGAACTTTTTCTCCTTGTTCAGAACATAAATTGATCAAATTATCAAGATGATGTCGTTAGTATCAGCTGATGGATGGAAGATAAAACTTGATGCTTATGAATAGTATTCTCTGTCTCTCTTTTTCTTTGGTTATGAGATGATGGAAGATAAAAATCGAGAATCAATTTCTCTCTCTCTCTCTCTCTCTCTCTACTTTATTTCAATAAGTCAAAAGTTATCATCTCGGTGTACAAAGTGTTGTGTCCATTTGTGTCCATCTATGTTGAGAGTTTTAGAAAAGAGGGAGAAACGTTGACTATTGACCAGTTAATTGATGCTTCTTGTTTAAATCATTCTAACTATTGTGTTGTTGTTGCTGTTGATGAAGAATAAGATTCTGGTGATGATGGAAGTGACCATTATCTTTACTGTTTGACTAACAAAGTAAATTAGGTAAATTGTAAGAGAAAAGTAAATTAGGTTATCTTGAAGATGGAGAAAACTTTATCTCCACCTTATTGTCCATGTCTTTCTCTCTGTTCATTTCTTTGGGGTCATTTTCTCTTCTCTTCTCTTCTCTTTATCTTCCTCATCCTCATCCTCCTACTCTTTCACTTCCTTATTGTATCTCTACCACAATTTCTTTTCACCTACTCACCCTTTCCCATGTATCTTCAGAACATCTCTGAATCAATCCCTTCATTAAATCTCACCATTTTTCTTTACCAGAAGAAGAAAACAAAAAGTTATTCTTAGAAGAAAAAAATCTAAGATATAAAAAGAATAAGATAAAGATGAATAAAGAAAACAATGATAATGACAGAGAACAAAAAAGTAGATGATAAAATTGAGTCAATTCTGATTATTCCATTTCTCATTGAATTCCTATTTTCTTTAGGTAAGAATCGAGATATTTTCCTCTCTCTCTCTTCCTTCATTTGTTTGAATGTGTCACCCTAATGATTAACTGTCAATTGGTAGCAATTTATAAATAATCATATTAGTTACCAGGTAATTTATTTGTATATTTGTACATGAATTGCAATAAGATTCAAAGTAAACGATGAAAAAAAGTAACTTTAATAATAAAAATAGGAAAGATAATATTATGAGGAAAATATCTAGAGAGTGGGGTGGAAATGTATCCATGGTGGGAATGTTAGAGATTAGATAAACAAGGAAATGTCTTTTTCCTCAATATTTAATACTCATCTTATATCCTCTTCTCACTCTCTGTCTCTCTCTCTCCTCCATCTCCTTTTCATAGCATTTTTTTATCCTCCATAGTCACAGGTAATTTCATGATGCATGAAAAATTATCAATGTGAAAGATAATTAAAATAATTGTACAAATAAATTACTTTAATGTTAGTTATTATGTATCTTTATTATTCATTATTCAGGATATATCGGAATCACTAAATCAATTTAATATCACTTAGATGAACTCAAATGATGATGATTATCATCATGATTGAACTTTTGATATTCAATCAGAAATTAGGAAAAAAAAGTTACGATTGTGAGTGAAGTTTGAATTTGAAGGGAAAATAAGTTGAGTTTCTTGTTCATCCTCATCATCAGATAGATTTTATTATATTTTCATGATTGAATTTGGTACAAGGTGTTATATGTCTATGGGGATATGTGTTTTTGTGTGTGTGTGTGCATGAGATGAAACTCAATTGAAACGGAAATAGTTTAATTCAGAATTTTATCTCTATCCGAACGTTTTTCTCTTCTCCTTTACCAAGAGAAAATTTTTTCTGTAAAAGAATTCAAAGTTATCTTATTAATATCATTTTTACAAGAAAAATCTAATAACTTACATAAAAAGATAAGTTAACCAGGAAGATGATGAGTTGGAATGAAGATTTACCTGAATTCTCATGGATTGGATAAAAATTTCATCTTCTTTTCATGAGATTCATGGTTATTTTTTGATCGGTTTACAAAATACATATTGCAATTGATTTACCAATCAACTTCTATCCTAATCAATAGTAATCATTTTTTTCACTCCCATTTTCATGATACTTGTACTGAATTTTTCTTGATTCAGAATTTGCTCTGAATCTTGTTG